TACTTCTAGAATCATCAATTGGTGATCAAGATACTTCTGTGAGATCTCCGCCTATGACTAGTCTCAGTCAGTATGTTAGGTATAGACTTCACAATCAGGAATAAACTACTTACAATGGTTTCACCATTTGGTAATTGGCAGAGACTAAAGAAAATGACCTTGACAAAGATACCACCTAAGCAAAAGGAGGTGAAGCATATTTTAAAGTCCAAAATAACCAGATGACATTCAGAAGTGACTCCAACAGAAGCCCCTCCCCTAATTCACTGAACTAAGGAGGAGAAAGTACAGTACAATCTGACCTGCATGATTCTGTTATAATAGTCGATCTCAATAAAAGTAATTTTAGTCTTCATATGGGGTTGTTTTGGTCTGGTTCACCTAGCAGGGCTGATTTCACCTCATGTTTATATTATGTAATGTGCTGTGTATAGTCTATCCTTGTATTCGGTCTGGAAGCCACAACAAACTATGCAAAACAACCCAGTGAGCTACCTGGCCACTGGCATCCTTTCCTTCATGAAACTTGGGAGGTCAAAGCGTGTGTCTGGGGAGCAGAGAAATAGACATTGCAGCAGAAATTGGTCAGTGGGAGAAAGATCTTGCACCCCTTATTTGTTACTGTTTCAGCATTAATTTCATTCCTTCACAAAATTGCTTTTCTCTAATAAAATATACTGTTGTGGCAGCAGATTCGGCACAGTGAGGAGGTTGGGGAGGAACGTGGGCCAGTCCTGGAGTCTGGGGAAGGCTTGGACGATGGCTCTGAGTCAGAGGCAGAAAGGGGGCCAAGGCCATCTGGTAGTTCTTTGCTGCCTCCGGAGTCTCCCGAGTCTGACATCAGCAAGGCAGAAGAACAGCGTGAGCCTGTTCCCAGTGTGCGCATGTGCAGAGCTGCCAGGAGACAGGAACAATTAAGGAAACAGGGTCAACTTGGGAGTAAGGCTTGGAGATGATTGGCCCCTCCCATAAGACATAAAAGAGAAGCAAACGGGACATGAGCTTTTGCAGGAAGCAATTAGTTCATCTGGCCGATTCAAGATTTGAAATTTCTTCTTGTGACTCTGTGCCAAATTTGGCCTTGCCCTGTGTCTGGAAATTAGCTCTTTGGCAGTGTTTTCTCCTTGGACCCATACAGTCCAGCAGCAGATGCAAATAATATAAAATTGGATGCTCTTTGCTACTGCTCCATCAATAGGTGAGGTCAAATTATGGAATTAGAGGGTAACAAAGGACTTTAGAGCTCCAGGGCAGGAATACTCAGACTTTCACAAGCAAAAGTTTGTCCAAACTTTGAAAGCCTCTAGCAATCGAGTGCCCATGACTCAGGAGGCAGGTTTTTTCACTGCTTAACAGCAATCATGGTCAGGAAATCCCCTATTTCAAGTTTGGATTTCCCTCTGCAAAGCTCTCTCATGTTGTTTCTTGAAGGAATACATCCTTCTCCTCTTTCCTGTGACAACCTTATTACCTGTCCTTATTAGCCTTTTCAGGCTGTTGCAGATATAGATCCTTTTTTTCAGCTGCCTTGGCGAGGTTGCCTCTGCCACTCCACTCTTTCCTGCTGAAGACCATGCTGTACCATCCTCTCTTTATCATACAAAAGAAATTAGCATTTGTGTGCATGTGTGTGCGCGCAGGGGTGAAATCCAGCAGGTTCTGACAGGTTTTGGAGAACTGGTAGCAGAAATTTTGAGTAGTTCAGAGAACTGGCAAATACCATCTCTGGCTGGCCCTAGAGTGGGGTGGAAATGGAGATTTTGCAATATCCTTCCCCCAGGAGTGGGGAGGGAATAGAGATTTTGCAGTATCCCTGCCACGCCCACCAAGCCACACCACGCCCACCAAGCCATGCCCACAGAACCGGTACTAAAAAAATTTGGATTTCACTACTATGTGTGCGTGCAGCTTATTTCACACCGTGAAATCATTCACTTTACTTTTTATCTGCCAAGGGAAGGAAAATAGAAATTCATCACTTCTCCACTTTTCTGTATCGCTATCATATTCAATAGATGTTTTTCCACCATTTGGGGATGCTGACAAGGGGAGAGAAGAACCAAAGCTGGAGGAATCAACCAATGACTTTGATTATACAGATGCGTAATCAGATCTCGGTATTTGACAGGTAGGATAGGGATTGCTTACAGGGACTGCAAAATTCATGCTGGCAGATAGTTTTCTGCCAATTAAACAATGGGTAGAGAGTATATTTTTATAGCACTAGGGAATGATCTTAGATGTTAATTTCTCCATGTAATGTGTAATGGACTTCAGTCCAGTTTTGTGCAATTGTTATATTAGGTCAATCGGAGCATATATTATAAATGCCGATAAAGCAATAGATAGTGACCAAAATGATTTCATTCTGAATTTCTGGAAAGGCCAATTTCTTTGGAAAAAGTCAAGTTCTAGCAAGACTTACTTTCAGCGGCACTGAAGAAAGTTTTTGGGGCTGCTGCCAGACATGTGAGCTGCAGCCGTGCCTCTGGCAACCTAGGTAAATTCCAGGTGGTGCAGAGTGAGTGCTGAAGAGAATGAGATCAGCTTGGCAGCCATGGCAGAACCTGGGCAGGTCTGAATTATAGGATCCTCTCAGGAACTTGGAATGTAAGAGTCATGCCTGAACTTGATAGTATGCGTTGGCAGCCAAAGTGAAGATTAGCTAGAGCAGCTGTTGATGACTCTCTGGGTTTCTGACAAATATGTGGTTATTGTCAGTGAGATGGATATCAGGTTGGCAGCGTAGGTGACAGAGATGGAGACATGTTTGCGGTTCAGGGGGTTGTTTCTGCTCAGTACTAATATCAGAATTTTCTCCCTTTTCATTAGGACTTGTTCTTATTTTGCATAGTGCTACATGTTTATATACATGCAGTAAAGCTGAAAGATAAAGGATTCCCTGCGGATTTTACTCCACTAGTCATAGCTGACTTTGGGGGGTGGAGCTCATCTTTGTTTCAAGATCATTGAACCAGTGCTGTCCGAAGACATTTCCACAGTCATGGGGGCAGCATCACATCACAGAGCACTGTTACCTTTCCACCGAAGGGGGTACCTGTTTATATACTTGCATTTGCATGCTTTTGAACTGCTAGGTTGGCAGGATGGGAGCTCACCTCGTTTTGTGGCACTTGGGTCTCGAACCTGGACTACCGGCTTTCCAGCCGACAAGACAGCATAGTAACCGCTGAGCTACCACACTGCCCATATATAGTACACTCCAGTGGTGGGTTGCCCCCGGTTCAAATTGGTTCTATAGAACCATTAGTAAAACCGGTGGGAGGCTCCGCCCACCGACCCCAACGCCATCAGGAAGCTTCTGCACATGTGCAGAAGTGTGCGTGTGCGTGCGTGGCCCCGTTGCAAACTGGTAGTAAAGGTAAGTAGAACCCACTCCTGGTACATGCAGATGCTCAGTTTAAATCCTATTGCCAAAAAAAATATCCTAAAATGAATTTACATTGCTAAGAAACTTCCTCTTTTTACAAATCTTTCTCAATCCATCTCAATATCTCAAAGCAGAACTACACTAGCAAAATGCCAATGGCTATAGGACTTCTAAGGATCTAAGAAAAAGATTTAGGCCCAACAAATCTTTAATATATACATCTATGATTTTGTTATACAATATATTTATCTGATTGGAGGAAGCTTCAGTTATAACTGTACCCACAGTTTAAGGAATTTGAATCCAGTTCTGAATTATACTACATTTTCTGTTGGTTTACCTTATATATTCGTGCATAAACCTATTCACAGATTAATTGTCCCTCATATTTTTAGCCATAACATCATGAAAAATGTGCTCTCTGTAAATAAGATGATTTCCCAACTCTTCATATGTTTTAATTTTCACATTTGGCTTATTTGAGGTTGGTGCATTTTTCATAATACTTGGTTAAAAATGCGAGGGGGTCTGCTGATCTGCAGATGGGCTTATGCACAAATTTATATAGGATATATGGATATTTTTAAAAAGCTGAGGAAAAAATCTACCACATATACTTGTGGATAAGCCCATCCTTGGTTAAACCAAACCCAGTTTTTGTGTGTATTTTGGCACCTAACATTCTTGACTTATCTGTGAATATATATGATTTATCTCTTTTAACAGTCACAGCTTTTCTGTGAGTATATATGATTTATCTCTTTAATAGTCACAGCCTTTGCTCTATAAAATCTCCAGATACTGAAGTGTAGACACTGAGAAATCTAGTAGAGATTCCTGTGGTCTTCACATTTTATGAACAATCTTGGGATTTCCAAAGACTGTAAACGGCTTAAACCATTTTATATACTTGGCTGTGATGTTTCCTTTAATCCTGCTGAAAGTAAAAGCTAAGTCTATCTTAACACATTTGTACACAATTCTGAATAATTGCTTTCCTGTCCCTTGCTGTTCCTTAACCTTACTTCTCCTTTCTTATCATTTACCTATTGCCCTGCTACTGTTAAATTTTAGATTATAAGATTTCCTGAGGCAGGAAAATGACATAATACATATAATAATACAACCTAAAGGTAATTAATACATTAACTAATTTTATGCTGCTGTGCAAATGTGAACTTTCCCTGATTTTGTTGGTCAGAGCTGCTGTATCTGCCGAAGCAAGGAAATTTAAATGAGGAGCAAGGAGGTTAGGGATCAAAACTAACTTCCTTACTGTCCCAGTTGTAAGTTACTTCTGTGTTTCAACATGGGAACGTCTAGTTTTGCTTCCCTCAGGAACTTCTACATACTAAATTAGGATATTCTGTTTAGCTGTGTGGGGAAAGAGAAAAGGGTTTGAAACTTGGAAGACCAAAAAGAATGAGAAATGTAATTCATCTCTTCTCTTCTAAATTACATTGTTTCCAGGAAGGAAAAATCACATTATCATTAATAGTGTTGCAAATAAGGCGTTTCTAATATTTCAATAAATGTAAACTGCACAATAAATCTAATCACCCCTGCCTCTTTTGCCTAATGGTAGTCGTTCTGTTGCTTTGTCTTCCAGCCTGCAACTGCAATGGGAAGTCCAGATACTGCATCTTCGACCCTGAATTGCTCAGGCAACAGGGAAATGGGTATCGGTGCCTCAACTGTATTGACAACACGGATGGAATAAATTGTGAACGATGCAAAGAGGGCTTCTATCGCCGGTCTCAACAAGATCATTGCATGTCCTGCAACTGCAACCTCAGAGGTAGGCAGGCACAGATTTAGGAAACGAGGAAGAAGAAAAAAAAAGCTTTGACTCATAGTTCATCTCCCCACTTGCACACAAATATGCAAGTAGCTCCAGGCAATATCTTTTCTGTGTCATGTTCTCGTAGCTCTGCTTTCATCTTGGATTTAAAAAATGAGCTACGGTGGTGCAGTGGTTAGACTGCAGTACTGCAGGCTACTTCTGCTGACTGCCGGCTGCCTGCAATATGGCGATTCAAATCTCACCAGGCTCAAGGTTGACTCAGCCTTCCATCCTTCCGAGTTGGGTAAAATGAGGACCCAAATTGCTGCAATATGCTGATTCTGTAAACCGCTTAGAGAAGGCTGTAAAGCACTGTGAAGCAGTATATAAGTCTAAGTCAGAGGTGGGTTTCAGCAGATTCTGACCAGTTCTGGAGAACCGGTAGCGGAAATTTTGAGTAGTTCAGAGAACCGGTAGTAAAAATTCTGACTGGCCCCACCCCCATCTATTCTCTGCCTCCCAAGTCCCAGCTGATCGGGAGGAAATGGGGATTTTGCAGTAACCTTCCCCTGGATTGGGGACGGAATGGAGATTTTACAGTATCTTCCCCTGGAGTGGGGTGGGAATGGAGATTTTACAGTATCCTTCCTCTGCCATACCCACCAAGCCACACCCACAGAACCGGTAGTAAAAATTTTTGAAACCCACTACTGGTCTAAGTGCTATTGCTATTTTGTCCCCAGCCCTTCAGTGAAACAGGCCTAGGGTTAAGGTGGGGGAGGCCAGGGACTGCTAGAGGACTGGATTATTTTTATTTATTTACAGTATGTATTTGTCAAATGTATATGGCCGTGCATAACGTAACACTGGATGGATTACAATTAAATCTATTTATTCAAACTAACTACAAAACCAATTAAAAATGATAAATAAAACAAGATCACAAGGAGGAGATTACACATAATAAAGCCAAAGCACGGGCTCCCTATTGCTAGGGGATCTCCAGACTTGCTGAAAAAAAATCAAGTTTTAAGGGGTCTCTGGAAGGCTAAATTTACCTTGAAAGGATGACATTCTGGAGAGCGAGGGCCTCAGCAGAAAAGGCTCATCTCCTAGGTCCTGTCAGATGGAACTGTTTGGCAGATGAGACCCACAACATGCCTCTCCTGATGGACCTGATGATTGATATTCCCCTGTATCTTACTTTCTTGTTTATTTTTTATTATGTTTATTGTTTTTTATTTTTATTATATTTACTGTTTGAAGGACTTAAATATCATGATATTGTTTTAATTGTTGCTGGTTTTATGGTGCCCAGAGTACATCCAGTGAGATGGGCAGCTGTGTAATTTTGCGAAAGAAAGAAAGAAAGAAAGAAAAAGAAAGAAAGAAAGAAAGAGAGAGAGAGAGAGAGAGAAGGAAGGAAAAAATAAAAAGAAAGGAAGGAAGGAAGGAAGAAAAAGAAAGAAAAAGAAAGAAACATAGGGGTTCACTCAATCACATGAGAGGTGATTGTTGGCTTGTTAAATATGGATACTTTAAATTTAAGTCTTTGTTCTCGGCGTATGTATATTAAATGAAACCACTGGTTTATAGTCAGAAATTCATATTTAATGGGTCAGTACCAGCAACAATAATTATAACAAAACAGAAATAAACATTTTGCTTTGTGCTGTTTTCTCATATTCAAGCCCAGTATTTTTTTTCTTTTGTTTATCTTCTTCTAATTTGTTAGGTTAAGTCAGTGGTGGAATTCAAATTTTTATACTACCGGTTCTGTGGGTGTGGCTTGGTGGGCATGGCGTGGCTTGGTGGGCGTGGCAGGGGAAGGATACTGCAAAATCTCCATTCCCTCCCCACTCCTGGGGGAAGGATATTGCAAAATCTCCATTCCCAACACACTCTGGGGCCAGCCAGAGGTGGTATTTGCCAGTTCTCCAAACTACTCAAAATTTCCACTACCGGTTCTCCAGAACCTGTCAGAACCTGCTGAATAGCACCCCTGGGTTAAGTGTGTAATACTATGCTGGGGAATAAGTGAAATACATGTTTGATTGCAATTTACTCATTCCTTTTCTGTACAAACACAATATGGTCTAAGTCTAAAACATTTTTTGTTGTGCAAGCCAAAGTCAAAGATTAAATGAAGTTTTTGGTATTGAAGTTAAATTATTTTCACATTGTTTAGTATTTAGTTTCTCATTCCATTCAATCTTTAAAATTTGCATCATGAATTAATTGATAACAGATATTTATAAAAGCTGATTGTGGATTTTTGGTCTCATAGGATTTAATGATGTTCTCTAATGACTCAGGCATCTCTGAAATTGAAACTGCTGTCTAATCTAATGGAGATGTCAGTAAACATAATTATAAATATTGCCAGGGGGCAGTAACTGACAAATGGTATTTATTTTATAACAGAATATAAACACTCATCATGATAATCTACTAGTTGATCTAACGCCCAGCATCCATCCTTCTCTAACAATGCCATCACAGTTCTTTCTGAATATTATTTATTGTTGTAATTTAGTTCTGTATCACTCTTCCTCCTAGAGTAGAAACCACAGAGTATACTTGTAACTGACATTTCAAGAATAACTTCATCTTTATTCTACATTTTATGATATATTGCTTTCATTTTTCTAAAATGAATCTACTTGTGTTTGTGTCTATTGCCTTGCTGCTGACTCTTTTATTTAACATTTTTGATGCCTTTTTTTGTATACAACTCTAAGTTTGCACTCTAGAAGGAACAATGATATAGAACTAAAATAACAGGAAGGATAACAATAAATATTATATTGCAATAATCCAAATGTGTGGTTATTAAGACATAAAACAATAAGTGAGTCTAGGCTAAACTTGGGATACATAGGGCTGGTATACTAGCTGAAGCCAAGTAGTCCTCAACTTACAACCACAATTGAGCCCGAAATTTATGTTGCTAAATGAGAAATTTGCTAAGCGAGTTTTGCCCATTTTACAACCTTCCTTGACACAGTTGTTAAGTGAATCATTGCAGTTTGTAAGCTAGTAACATAGTTGTTAAGTGAATCTGGATTTTCTATTGACTTTGCTTTTCAGAAAATCACAAAAGCTGTGCACATGACTCCAGGACACTGTCATATGTATAAATCAATTGTAAAGTGGCTGGATTTTGATCATGTAACTACGTGGGATGCTACAATGGTCGAAAATGTGGAAAACGGTCAAAAAACACTTTTTTGAGTGCCGTTGTAACTTTGAACATTCATCAAAGGAACTGTTGTAAGTCGAGGACTACTTGTATAGATTGGAATCAAGGAGAGTCTCTAAGCTTGAACTTGGTTGCTTGGAAGGAACGGTTGCATTGACCAGAGCAGGCCATCTTTCTAATTCCAAGAGAAGCACATATCTGTGATACTTACCTTATGGAATTCAGCTTCAGAGTTTTTGTTCTCCTCTGTTGCCTTATTGCTTCCAAACATCAGAAGAAAATTTCTTCTGAAATGTTTGAGATCTCATAGACAAGTTGAGAATAAATCATACTGTCAGAAATTAATTTACAGTATTATATTTCCATATTTCTTCTTCATAGGTTCTGTCAGTGCACAGTGTGATAACCATGGCCGGTGTCACTGCAAACCTGGTGTGACAGGTGATAAATGTGACCGATGCCAGCATAATTTCCATTCCTTCTCTGAGGCTGGATGCATAGATGTTGGGCAAATACAGTAAGTACCTTCAGGTTTATGGAACTGTCAAACACGGATAATTATGTCTTTGTGGAAATTCAGATTTCCTTCAATAAGGCAATAAAAATAAATTTGGTTGATTTTCTATGCTTTTACATAAAGAAGTTCTGAATCAAAAATTTCCCAGTCTATTTCCTAAAAATGGTATATAGCAGTGATGGTAAACCTTTTTGGCACCAAGTGCCCAAACCGGAACGTGCGTGCATGCGTGCGAGTGTGCCAGATCCCCACAGACCCAAAGACCAGCTGGCTGGTGCACATGCACACTGGTCACCTGGTCTTCGTGTGCGCCAGAGCCCCAGAAACCCAAAGAAGAGCTGGCCAGTGCGCATGCCCGCGCCAGCCAGCTGGTCTTCGGGGTTTTAGGGCTCCAGCATGCGCAAAGATCAGAAACCAGAAGAGCAGTTGGTGACCCGAATGTGCTCACATAGCGGGCTCTGTGTGCCACCTCTGGCACACATGCCATAGGTTTGCCATCACGGCTATATAGACTGTATATCGGAAACTGTATTTTTCAATTTTGTTGGTCTTAGTGGGAATATATGTTTGAATTGCTCCATTTTTAAAAATCTCTTTAGGCCTACTGCATGTAGATTGCAAAAGTCCAAAAGACCACTAGATGGCAGGGAAGAAGTAGAGTCTTCACTATTTCTTTACCACCCTCTTGTGGTCACTCAGATTTTGCAGCCCACATATAGTAGGCCTAAGCTTACTTATGCACTGGAAGATATGAAAGAATCAGAGGACACTGTCTTCTTTGTGCAGATATAATTTTTTTCAGAAGGGACCCTGCAGTTGAGAAACAATTTGACAGTCTGTGTTTTATGGATGGTGTGATATTATTAGGAATGCTGAAAGAATTTGATCTTTCTGTGCTCCATGGTGAACTGAACTGAACTGACCTCCTTTGCTGATGACAGGATCAGAACATCTGGTCTATACAATTTTTCAGCATGAATGTTGCAGTGAATATTTGGCTCAAAAACCATAGTGCATTAAATATGCATATTTTGAGGGAAACTGCATTTAAAAGCAAGCATTTAAATTCTATATGTTCTATGTATAGAATGAACTCAGCAATGAAAGAACATTTGAAAAAGTGATGCAAAACAAAAATAATTCCATTTGCTCCTGGGACTGGCCTGAAGACTATAAGTATACTATTTAGAAAGTGATATATTCTCATCTTTCCATTCATGTCACAACAAGAGCAGTTCGGTACAAACATTTTTACCCAGCCCAGTGACATATATGTCACTCGCACTTTGCATGATACAGTCTGTAACCCAGTGTTTCTCAATCTTAGCAACTTTAAGATGTATGGACTTCAACCCCCCCAAATTCCCCAGCCAATAAGTCTAGCTGGGGGATTTTGGGAATTGAAGCCCAGTTATCTAAAAATTGCTAAGATTGAAAAAACACTGCTCCAATCTATCACTTTGTGATAGATGATTTCTATCAACTATTTTTCTTTTCCTCTGTCTGCTTATAGTTCATTGAGAAGATCAAAGCTTTTAACTACTGCCAAGTAAAATGGGTTTATCTCTGTTGCATTTAACATCTTGGTAGGGATAGATCAGTGGTGGGTTTCAATTTTTTTTACTACCGGTTCTGTGGGGGTGGCTTGGTGGCCGTGGCATTGCTTGGTGGCCGTGGCTTGATGGGCATGGCAGGGGACGGTTACTGCAAAATCCCCATTCCCTCCCTATCAGCTGGGACTTGGGAGGCAGAGAATAGATGGGGGCGGGGCCAGTCAGCATTTTTACTACCGGTTCTCCGAACTACTCAAAATTTCCGCTACCGGTTCTCCAGAACTGATCAGAACCTGCTGAAAACCAACTCTGGGATAGATGCTGTCAAATAAATATGTGGACAGTGGCTGGGAAGTATGATCTGCTTTGAATATTGAGGAAAATGGACACATTAAAAAAAAGAAATCAAGGTACCCAGCGCTACCAAGGCCTACACTGGAATTAGCTTTCCAGGAACAACATGATCCATGATTTTAAAACTCATGTTTTTAATGGCGGCTCAAACAAGCAACAATGACATATTGCTACCTTTTTCAACTTTGTTACTGTCCATGACTTTAAGTAGGTTTTGGATTTAAAAAAACAACAACAATATATATATGATGATACCAGAATCCATAACTGTAGCTACAATCTTGAAAACTGCAACTACATATCTTGAAAAACATGGTGCACTTTAATTCTGATCATATAGATTGAGCAGCAATTATGTTTCAGAAAAATACCATCATCAATACAAAAGGAGTTTCAGTAAAGATTGTGTTCTATACTGTTCTATTCGTTTTTTTGGATAATTCCACTATTCTCTCTCATCAGATGATAACAATGTGAATGTCCTGGTTTTTCTCTCTAAAAAAAAATTGGATATTAAGGATGAAAGAAAGTGATCAATAGCATGCTCAGACAATACATCTGTAAAACTAGTAGTCTTAGTCTGTAATGAACAGTCAACTGAAGAAAAGAAGTCCAATTGCCATGTCTCAATTTTTCAGACTGTTTTGTTATTATTATATTTTAAACTATGATGCAAATATATACATTCTCAGGAAAAAAATGCATAAAAGTGTTTTAAAACAGTGAAAAGATAAAATATATCACTATAACAGTTAACAATTACAATTCTATATATACGTATCTAATGTAAATATTCAACCTGTCTAATGGATGGACAATTCAGTACTGAAGTATTCAATAGTACAGTACTGAAGTATTTCCATCTACAGTATGTTCAATAGTTTGAGCTGATTAATTGGGCTCAGCCTTGTTGCATTCTGTTTGTTGTTTATAGAAATGCTTGCAAATTCCCTGAAACCGAAGTTAGATATAAGGGTGTGTTTTATTTTCCCAGGAACATTCAGTGTAATTGTGATCCATCTGGAAGCACAGGGCAGTGCATTTCTGGACGCTGTGTCTGCAAGACTGCAGTTGCAGGAGAGCGATGTGACAGGTGTGAGCATGTAGTTTCTATGGCTAAAAGGTTTTGCTTTGTTTTTTTATGGGAGGGGGCATTGCTATGATTTCTCCCCAAAACACATCAGAGAATCTATGCTTAGTGGTTCTAATTCACCTTTCAATCAGATTTTAGTGAATGAGCCCACATAAATTATCCTGTATCTGATGCATTACTAATCAAGATTATTGAATAGAGTGAATCAAAGATAATTTCCTCAACAGCAATTCATAACACCTGGAGTCATCCAACATCATTGGAGCAAAGGAACAGTAATGAGGGATGCTATATTGCACGGATATCAAACTTGCGCCATCACGTTGCTGTCACGTGATGTTTCATGATGTTTTTTCCCTTTGCGGAACTGGGGTGGGCGTGGCCTGCTTGTGATGCATCCGGCCTGCAGGCCACCAGTTTGACACCCCTGCTATAGTGCTTCAGTGATGGCTGCTTGATGCTAAAATGACATTCCAATTTAGTGTTTCTCTAGCTTAGGAGTTAGTAACTTTATGATGCATGGACTTCAACTCCCAGCATGGTGGCTGGGGAATTCTGGGAGTTGAAGACCATACATCTTAAAGCTGCTAAGGTTGAGAAACACTGCTCTAATCACTAGCATAGAACTAGCCAAAGTCAGTACATAAAGTAAGAAAGCTGGCATGTCAAATTATAATTTTAAATTCTGACAATTTCAGTTTCCTTGAGGAAAGATTTGTGGGTTTCAAGGTTTTTGAAAATGTGCTTCTCTATAATGTCCAATTTGATAGAAAAGAACTTTGGGGAGCCAAGATATATTTTTCTTCACTGCAAAACATACTATAAAACAACTGCGTCAAATAACTAGAGAATAAATGAAAAGCAAAGCCCTGCCATTGGGGAGAAGGAGGCAGGAACTTGCATCAAACAACAATGCAGACAAAAAAATTGTAGAGAAATTTACATCTTTTCCCAGATAATTTGGTATCATCTACTTGGCCCAGACCTCAGATGAGTAAATGAACAAATTCCTTCCACCTTGACCTGTCCTTAATGACTACAGCTTTTTGAAAGACATTCCATTGATAATTCTCTTGCAATCAATCCACATTGTCCATTATCTTACCCTTCTACTTTACTCAACTTTGCAAGCATAGTTGTTCATCTGCCTTCATCTCATATCTAAAATCATTGTCTCCAGCAGAATTGTCAGTCTTGATTTCATCTAGAACCAACTGATTATTTGCTCTTTTCCAAAATCACTATTCAGAACTCTCTTCTTTCTCTCACCCCTTTTCAGTGTTCATCTTTCACAGCCTTACATAGAAATATCATTATTCCTTCACTGTCCTGTCTAGGTTTGTCATTGCTGTCCCCTCTAGGATTAATCTCCTCTTGACTTCTCTACCCCATTGTCTATCTATTATCAAGCTCATGGAAACAGAACTGTCTACTTCCTTTATTTCTACATCAGATCTGAATTCAGCAATAATACTGGTTGGTCTCATTTTTGTCCTTTTGCTATTAAATGTAAATCCTGATTTTTTTCTCTTTTCCCATTTTTATTTTTCCAACAAGCCTTCTAAGTCTTGTGTACTTTGACACCATAAGAAAATGGTGCCCTCCTTCTCAAATTGTTAGTGAGTCCATCACCAATTTTGAATCTAGCTGTCAGTTCCTCCATTCCTGTTAGTCGTATAATGGATTTACTGTGTAAGTTAAACAGATAACAGATATGTATTTATCTCACTCCAAAACAATTTCTTACAATAGGTTTTTGTTCATTGCAAAGGTTTCAGAATTATCAAGTACTCTGGCAAACTCACTAGCCTTAATATATTCCATATTTTAGCACAAATTATTCAATCAAAGGCTTTTCTATAGTAAATAAAGCAAAAGTAAAAAACCTCCATAAATTTTCTTGGTGTTTTAGCCATCAACTATTTGATCTCTTGCCCTTCTTAAAAGGATACTTGGACATTTTGCATTTATCTTTCCATGTATAGCTCAACTGTTCTTTGTACGATTGTAAGCAAAAGTTTGCTCACACCAAGAAGGAACTGGTAATTTGCACATTCTCTTGCATTCTACTTTCTTAGTATAATTATACCAATGTTTTCACATTTCTCGGCCACAAATAATATCGTTCCTTATTTGCTGACAAGGAGTATTTAACACTTGCTTCTTCTCCTACAGTTTTAAATAATACCATAGGTATTTCATTCCAGGTGCATTGATTTCTCCAATATCCATAGACCCCTGTGATGAGCCAGAGATATTCAGAAGTCAAGATGCAACATAACTATATAGGTTCACTTCAGCATGCTTAGTCTCTGAGTTTCCTTTTTTTTAAGCAAAAAGAGGGTAATATTGTTTATGCCATGTCTCTGAGGGACTAGAAATACTGGGAAATGGTGGAATGGATTGCACTGGGAAGAAGAAACTGGGAATTAGGAGGGGGGGAAGAAGCTTTACAGGGCAACTTTCTCAGAAGAAGCTCCACCATCAAGTCTACAGAGTAAGATAACTACGTGCTCATAGAAATACAAAACTGCTACCAAAATAGCTGGTATCATTATGGCTAAGAGAAGTAAAGGAAAGCTCAGTTCAGTTCAGAAGGTAGTTTGAAACTATGTATTATAAAACAGAAAGAGGGATCTCTATATAAGGTATCATGTTTAGGTCTTAGAGAGCTAGGATTGATTGCAATATTATTGTAGAATTCATAATCAACAAGTCTAATCTAACTTTTTGCCAGAGCAGCAATCTTAGGACATTGTCTCCTGCATCCAGCTTCAAAGACTTCTTCCCAATTTTTTCTTTAAAAATCTGTAGGCAGGCAGCTGGTATACTGTATGTATAATTGAATTTTTTACAGAAGAAACCAAAAGTATTTGTCAGCCAAATATTTGTCTCTGTAATAAAGTTTGTCTTTAGTTAATTTGTCAGAAGGCAACTTGATTTCTTCCTCAGAAACATCCAAGCCAAACCTATATTAGATCTAAGTACATTCTGTCCTTTTGAAGCCAGTTATTACAACTTTCTCCAAAACACATACAAGTGAAGGCATCTCTTCTTGTTGCAAAGATTCACACGTCACAAAGATCTTAAAACAGAACAACACATATTCATTTCGTGTTATCTAAGATCATGAGTCTTTGAGTCTACATGCCTGTGAATGTTTTGCAAAGAATGAAGTATGAAAACAACCAAAGGGCTGTGATGTTTTGTTTGTTTTCCAGCAGCAGCCAGCTAAATGTAAAATTCCACTTTGCTTTTGTGTCTAACAACTTTTGATTACTAATACCAGTAACTTCTCTATACTTTGGGCTTTTATATTTGTTGACATGAACATGAAGAACATTTATCGTGTTTACAGCCTAACGTATACTTATATTATGGTCTGCAAATATACAAAATCCACACACTGAACAAGGGGCAAAGTATCTGACTGTATCCTTAGATAAAATTTATTTGGCTATTTCAATTTCTGATGGATGATGAAAAAGGTTGATATTTGCAACGTGGGGTGCCGCTATCTGGATGCATGAATACACTCATGTAATTGATCTTGATCCAATATCAAAAGTTATGTTATTAATACACAAATTAAGTATGGGTTGGAATTTGCTTGCTATTCCAGATGGCTCTATACCTGAATTTTCCTGCAAACAATATAGATAGTGGCTTTTATATGCTGTATGTGGGGTAAATGATAGCTGTTCTACCATCAAAGGATCATTTGACTAGAAACACACTGCTTCTTCCCAGTGATAGCCTAGATCCGTGATGGCGAACCTATGGCACGCATGCCACAGGTGGCACGCAGAGCCATATCTGTGGGCATGCGAGTGTTGCCCTAGCTCAGCTCCAGCGCACATGCGCATGCAGGCCAGCTGATTTTCGGGCCTTCCGGGCCCACCGGAAGTCAGGAAATGGGCTGTTTCCGGCCTCCGGAGTGCCTCCGGGGGGGTTGGGGAAGGCTGTTTTTGCCCTCCCCAGACTCCTAGAAAGGCTCTGGAGCCTGGGGAGGGTGAAAAACGGGCCTTCCGGTCCCACTGTGCCATCGCGTGCCAATAGCAGAGAGAGCGTGGGGTGTTGCACACACATGCATGGTGGGGCGGGGTGCACTGAATTATGGGTGTGGGCACATGCACGCACGACACCCCTGCTCTCCCCCCGCTTTTGGCACGCGATGGCAAAAAGGTTAGCCATCACTGGCCTAGATAGAATATCTAATGATGGCTAATCTCAAAGTCCAGAAAGGGTTGGGTTTTTTCTTTTTCTTTTTTCTTTTTGCTGGTTAGAGGTTTCTTAAGGCTAGATACTGAAATATTTTCATATCACAACAGTTAAGCAGAGAAATCCAAAATAGAAATGTGTCAAAAATGTTTAAGAGATCCTGCAATTCATTGTCTTGATTTTTCTCTCACACAGATGCAAGGAGGGCTATTATAACTTAAATGCAAGGAATCCAGAGGGCTGTTCTCCATGCTTTTGTTATGGACATTCAACTACATGCTCCAGTGGGGAAAATTATAGTGTCTATAAAATTACATCTACATTTCAACAAGGTAAAACACTTCACTAATTTGGTCTTTTCTTATTTGCATGATCTGCATTCTTTTCCTGATTATGCAACTTTTGTATAAGCTTTTGTTCCCCACATTTGCTTTATTCTGTCTGAGAAGAGTTTAGATTGATCCATACTTAGGGACAGCCAGTATCTGAGTGCGCTCTCTCTCCCTCTCTCTCTCTCTAGCTCTCTCTCTCTCTCTCTCTCTCTCTCTCTCTCTCTCTCATCTGTGATTTATTCTTCTCTTTCAGTAAATCAAGGTATCACAGAGATGTTGAATACAGACCACAATTCAGTATATGATTACATCAGATATTACTAGCATAGAGACTGGCTGGCAACAAATGACCTTGGGTGAATTTCACGCAGAGATCTGACTCGGTCCTTGCTGAGACATACAGTCTCCAATCCTCACCCCTGCTAGTCAAGAAATTATCTTCCTATATTTTCATTCCCCTCGGCATATTTAGCATATCATTCCCTTCTGTTACTTATTTGCATTTTACTGAAGAGCTCTTTGAATTTTAAGTGAACTTTCAAGAGTCTCCATACTTTTTTTCAGATATGCCAATCCAGACAGTTAAACAGGGTGTGATTCGGATTTCTTTACAACAAAATAGTAAAACAGTATAAGGGCTTCTTACAGATGTCAGTGAAGCAGCTATGGCTGGACTTTGGACAAAAATCTAGGGATCTGCAGCCTTGGGTTCCCAAATGACTAGCAGATGTTGGGAACAAGACAGGGATGAAATGTAAAATTTGTTACTACCGGTTCTGTGGGCGTGGCTTGGTGTGTGGGGGGTAATGTGACTGGATGGGCGTGGCCAACTTTTTTTTTTAACTTTTCAAAGCATTTTTTCTAATTCTTTGAAAAGCCTCTCTGACGATCAGGCAACTCAGCTGGGATCGTAAGAGACTTTTCAAAGCATTTTTTTTTACCACCTCTTCGGCCAAGAGGTTGCAGAAAAAAATGCTTTGGAAAGCCTCTGACGATCCCAGCTGAGCTGCATGATCATCAGAGGCTTTTTAAAAAAACTTTTAAAAGCATTTTTTCATCGGAAGAGGTTGTAGAAAAAATGCTTTTAAAAGTAAAAAAATAAAAAGCCTCTGATGATCGTGCGGCTCAGCTGGGCATGCGGGGGGGGGGGCATGCAAGGATTTTTGCTACCAGTTCTCCGAACCACCCGCCTCCATCGCTACCAGATTGGGCGATCTGGTCCGAACCGGGAGCATTTCACCCCTGGAACAAGAGTAAATGGGCCATCATCAATAACTGGAAATGCTCTGGTCACCCGGTCCTGATTTATAAAACTGTTCTCAAGGAGCAAGGCAGAAAGTGATAGCCTGCTTCGAGCATACTAGCTTCATATCTCTAAAATGTTCCTGTGTTCTCAAATAGTATGTTTACAAGCAAGAGATGCGCAGGAACATCTTTACTGTAGAAAGTAATTTTTTTCAGCAAGGAACCACTCTATGCAAAATCATCTTCTTAGCACAGAACCAGACAGTACTGGCTAGAAGTGCTTCTTCTTTGCCTCCTTCAGAAGGACATTGTATTCAGAAAGTAACTACAGGTAGTCCTTGACTTACAACAGTTCACTTAGTGACCATTTGATGTTACAACGGCGCTGAAAAAAGTGACTTATGACATTTTTCACATGACTACTGCAATATCTCCATGCTCAAGTGATCAAAATTCTGATACTTGGCAACTAACTCATGTTTATGATGGTTGCAATGTCCCGGGGTCATGGGATCATATTTTGCAACTTTCTGATAAGCAAAATCAACGGGGAAACCAGATTCACTTAACAACTATGTTATTATTTTAACAACTGCAGTGATTCACTTAACAACGGTGGCAAGAAAAGTTGTAAATGGGGCAAAACTCACTTAACAATTACCTCGGTTAGCAACAGAAATTTTGGGCTCAATTGTGGTCATAAATTGAGGACTACGTGTATAGTAGGAATGCATTGACCTCAGTTACACACTATAGATAAAGTTGTTTTTCTCCTATCACATTTCCTGAATCAGTGACTGTGGATTGGATTTCCAACTTAGTTCAGTAAGCTGTGCTTTTCCTGTATTTCAGGTAATGAAGGTTGGCAAGGTCAAGAAAATGGATCCCCATTACAGCTCCAATGGTCTCCACAGCACAACGAAATTTCTGTGACCTCTAGAAGGCTGGGTTCCAGCTATTTTGTAGCTCCAGGTGCATATTTTCATATCCCAGTGTGGAGAGGCACACCTCTAAAGGACCATTCAGCAAAATATACCTTTAAATTGTTCATTTGTAGTCATATATTCCAGCTTGGGTCCCATTTATAGTCACATATGTTTTTTTCTGATCTTGAGGTGATGTACTGTATTATTTTAGTGTAGTGAAAGTAACACAGAGCATGTGATAGTTTTCCCAAGGATGCTTCAATATGGTTTTTTTTCATCCTTTTGCCAACATTCCCCATAGTTAATGTAGCTACATGAAAAAAGTGAAAAGATTCTAACCATCTCCAAATATTTCATTTTTAGGAAAATTCAATTTGACCAGTTAGGCACTTCTAGTTTGAAAAGAAGTCTGCTCTTTTAGCAAGGAGCTACATAGGATATAAAATGATCTACCTTGTATATCAATATATAAATTACCCAAAGACTTGAATACTGGTAGTTATGGATCCTAAATACGTAGCAAATATTCAATGAATAATTATCCTGCTGAACAAGGAGGTTGTCTTAAACTTGTTGGTATATACATACATTTACTCTTCTTGGTTAATTAGCTTTATAGAGAACAGGGAGATTCTTAACACTAAGATCATTCATCCATCTAGTTCGGTATTGTTGACACTGATCAATGGCAGATTTTCCAGATTTGAGATTGGAATCTTTCCCAACGTTATCTAGAGATGCTGGAATAGATTTTGTATGCAAATGTGTTTTCAGCCATTACTGTGGCATTTTCCCAGCAATGAGGAAGACCAGCTCTGAAATAAATCAGAGTAATTTATTCACTTCTAGTCAAACTTGAAGTGTCTAAACAAATCAAATTAATTGTTTAAGAGCACTTCTACAAAACTGTCATTCCTCAAATGCCCAGAAAGGTGATAATTCTTTTTTAAACTTCTAACTACTGGAAAGGCTAACATAAATATAGAATCCCTGCCATGCCTCAATAATCTTCTCACAGAGGAAGGAAGGAAGTTCAGTAGCCTAATATTTGGAACAGAAAGAAAAACATGACATATCTCTGCTCAATTTCATCTTGCTTCTTATTCTTTCCAACCCAGTGTTGGAAAGAAATTAGGAAACAGGCTTGTCAAGCTGTCAGCAAAATGACTCTCTGAAAACTGACTAAAACAGAGCAAAATTTGATTGGGTAGGAAAACTGACAAAACAAAAGTCAAGTTTGAAAATTAACTGGATTCAAATTCCAGAAAAAAAGAGCCCCTGAAGCATCCTTACAGGAAAGGCAGTTGGACATATCTTGCAATGTCTCTGCCTCTTCCATTCTAAATCCCCCCTCCCTCTTCCATCATTTGACCCAAATAGTTTCTGAGATTTTCTCAACACCTTTGCAAAATAATGACGGTGGAGACATCTGCAGTTTCTTCAGGGGAGCATATCTGTTTCTATCCTCTCCTTATGTTACATCTCTGTGTTTGTGTCACTATGGCCAAGTGATACAAGAGGCACAGGAAGCACAAGAGAAGCTGCAAATGCCTTTCCCATAAGGATGCCTTTTCCTGTAAACTTGGCTGGATTCAGCCCATTGTCAAACCTCAATCTTTCTCTTGTAGGTTACAAATTCGATCCCATTCTGATCTGCTTTTACAGAGTTATTCTAACGATAGATAGAATAGACAGATGCAATCCTGAGTCCTTGTACATAATTTCTTTCTAATATATTCTTGGGCTGGGGAAAAAATGAAAAGCATAGCTTTGAAGCAGATTCAACTATATATCAGTTGAAGTTGAAGTAGACGTCCACAATACCGCTGACATCCAAAGGAACACATGTCCAGCCAGTTTAGAAAATCTATTTGGATGTACCCAAAGAGCTTTTTGGTAAACTTGACATGTTTTTGTCTGAAACAGATTCAAAATATACAACTAAGTAAAGAAGCAAGCCAACCAACAAACAGACAGATTGTCCCAAAGGTGCTTTTTAAAAGGCAACTGGGTCCCCCCCCCTCCGAAAACATTTCTCTTTTCATCCAAAAAGCTTCTCCAGTTCTGGCTGAATAGTGGGGAAATGATTGATTGGATGATTGAGAATCTCCATAGACGCCCAGATTTTTAACTATGCCATAACCATGCAATAAGCTATTAGATGTTGCCCTTTAATATTCATTGATTCCTTTGAAGTCCTCTCTATTGCTCTAGAATTAAGCTGATACTGATAGATAAAACTTTTCTATGCTATTTTCTTTTAAAATGTCATCTGTGGATACTTTAAATTCTTATTTGATTGCTCTTTTCGCTATGCAATTTTTTTGTAGCCAGATTCCTTGGGAACCAGCAGCTAAGTTATGGACAGATGCTGTCTTTTGATTATCGAGTGAACCGACCTGGATTTCGCCCTTCACAGCATGATGTCATCCTGGAAGGAGCTGGCTTAAGAGCCATGACCCAGTTCCCATCTAATGGCAGGATGCTGCCTTGTGGAATCAGGAAGACGTACACATTCAGGTAAATTGCCTGGGGCACTCTCAAATATTAAAGACAACAGTACAGCTCCCTCAATGACACCCTATTACTAACTCTGGGTTTACATGGTTCACTTATTCTGAGTCGGCTCTTGATGACTTTAACCCAAAATGATGTAAATTTGAATGAACTATCACAGATTTATTAACTCAAACAGTACTTCCATATCATTCAGTATCACCTTAATGGTTTTCCAATATAGGCAGTTTACCCATCAGTAAGGAAATGTCAAATAATCAAAAGCTGTTTTGAAGAAACCAGGTAGTATATGTTACTATGTAAACAAACTCTGTAAGGTTTTATTTTACAACAAATTGATTGTTTAGATATGTAGCTTTCTAACTACGTCATGTGAACCTCCCAATTTTATGGAAGTGTGTTAGGAATTCTGGAACAAGAAAAATTGATCCTCCCTCATAGCATAGAGGAACCTGTGATGATGTAGTCCAGTGATGGCTAACTTTTTCCGGACCAAAGCGCGCACGTGAGCACGCAAATGTGCATGTGCGTGCCCAAACCCCCAAAATGCAATGTGTACATGGCCCCCTGCAAGTGCCCTCCATGCATGCTTGTGTGTTCCCCACATGCGCCCTGCACATGTGCACACGCCCCCACACACGCCCCACCCCCACGCATGTGCACACGGACCCCGCATGCACCCTGCACATGCGTGGTAGAGACCTGAAGACCAGCTGGCTAGTGGGAGGCACACGCACATGAGCAGCAAAGCTGAACTGGGCAATGGCTTGCGTGCCCACAGAGAGGGCGCTGCGTGCCACCTCTGGCATGCGTGCCATAAGTTTGCCATCACGGATGTAGTCTATGCACTGACTCCTCCAAAGTGACACAGAACCATAGCACAGCACAGCTGGCTGGTACCTATTATGGTACTTCAACATTTTCCACCCTGGCACCTTCATATTCAAGTCTTGGAGTAGAACTCTTACACTTGCATGCCATCAGACATGCCAGCTGGAAATAATGGATTTGAAGGAAGCTTACTCCAGTCTTGTAAAAAAATTTGTGTGTAGGGGGATCACTTTTATTTTTGCTTTGGTTGCAATTTTGATTCCTTGATATTAAAGAAGGATACTTAGCTCTCCTAACTATTGAAAAAATATATTGATTTATTAGGGAGTTGACTTTTGTAACCTTATTTATTTATTTATTTATTTATTTATTTATTTATTTATTTATTTATTAGTTCAATTTATATGCTGCCCTTCTCCGAAGACTCAGGGCACCTTACAATGCACTTATAGCAATAGCCTTCATTCTTTTTGTATATACCTGCTTATTAGGGCTTTTGGCCCCCCATAAGAGGTGTTTCTACAAAGCCAGTTTATTGCCCCCACAATCAGGGTCCTCAATTTACCTACCTCGAAAGGATGGAAGGCTGAGTCAATCTTGAGCCTGGTAAGATTTGAACTCACACTAATTGCAGGCGGCTGGCAGCTAAGTGCTACATAACAGCACTTAGTCCACTGCACCACCAAGGCTCTTTGACTTTCTGAGATTCACAGAAATACAGTATATGCCTTATTTACAGTTCCTCCTTGACCTTACAATGCTATTTTCTCATTCTTTATGGTCATTTTGTTGATATAACAGTGTTCTGTTTCTTTCATTTCTAACTGTGTTTATGGAAATATATTTTATATGCAATGATGGCTAGGCATGATTTTTTTAAAATATAATTTTCTTTCTTTATCTCTGGTCTGCAGGTTAGATGAACACCCAAGTAGTAACTGGAGCCCTAGGCTTAGTAATATTGAGTATCATCAGTTAATTGGGAATTTGTCATCAATTCGGATCAGAGCCACTCATGGAGCTGGTGAGCTGGGATTAGCAACCGGGCATAAAAAAGGGGCCTTCATATAGCATTTGATTGCTTATTTGAACATTTCTGTCCTATTTTATTATCAGATAGAACACAAAGCAATAAAAACATTTTAAAGAACACAAAGCAATAAGCTAATTTAAAAGTAGGTTAATGTCAGCCAAGTGAAGCTATGATTTAAGTCATTTTTACACTCAGAAAATTTCCCAGAGCTGCTTAGTGTTTTTAGCACAGAACTTCTGCATCACACAGAAGGTTGCAAAGAATTTCTCTTGGGGATAGGGTAGGCTTCTCTCATTTAATTGAAGAGCCAAAGACCGTGCTGCCAAGAAGTTATGAGAAGTGAAGTCCAGCACATCTGGAAACATCAGTTTGGACAAGAACTGTCAGAGGATACTTGGGGAAGGTTAATCATTCATGTGTATCTAGTTTTCTCTCAAATGTTTAATTTTTGTTAGTAAAGATTAATGCAGAAATAGGAGAGAACAAATGTTGAAAGAAGACATGTAGAAGACATCTGGAAATAGATCTCTGACATCCCTAGACATAGTCTATTCTCAGTTAAGACACGATCCAGATGCCATTGCCTAATTTTGTCACGATTTCTTCTCTGGAATATTTTCTAGAATCACTTTCTGTTCTTTTAGTCCCAGGGTACCTCAGTAATGTCATTTTGGTTTCGGCGCTGCCAAGCACTGGCTCTCCGGCCCCCTGGGTGGAGCAATGCGTATGTCCAACTGGATACCAGGGGCAATTCTGTGAGAAGTGTGCTCCAGGGTACAAAAGAGAGAATTCACGTAACTTTGGGGCCTTCAGGCAATGTGTTCTGTGCCAGTGCAAGGGAGGAGGAACTTGTGATACAGAAACAGGTAAGCAAATCCACAGTCTAAGGTTCTGTTATGGTGGATATTTATTTATTTATTGGTCCATTGGACTTTATTTGAAAGGGCAAGAATGTCAAAATCACTGTGGGGTCACTCTATATGATGACCAGGAAACCCTTTCTTTGTGAAGGAGGACCAGGCATGAAGACATATATTCCATATTATATGTTCACTATTTTAGATAAAATAGAGATAGAGTCGCATTCATTAATGTGATCCCTGGCTGTGAAGAAACCCTGCAAAAACTATGAGAGTTTTTGTGTCAAATGTTCAGTACATGGACACTCAAAAAGACCTGAAGGAAGATCTTTTGGAATGCACATGGTGTTTAGTTTTTACTTGTTTTTTCCCTTGGTTTTTGCCCACTTGGCTTGCCAAAAACCAGAAATACTGCAGCAATAATAATAGTAAGAAAGCTGCTATAAAGTTTTTAATCTTTCTGCCATATGAGCAGCTGACAGCTAAGATTCTTGTCATTGTCATGACTTGTCACTGTCATTCTTGCCCCCAAGTTCCAAACATGATTACTTAGTAGTGTTCTGTACCATTATATCATATTTAATAATGTTATTTTAAATTATATAAAAGTTCAATTCCTACACAAAATAAACTATCTAACGTGCAGTTCCTTGGATGTCAAAAGATTCATTTTGACAGTTGTTCCTTTCCCCCCTCTTTTCTAAGAATTTCCTGATACTTTATCAATTGATGAAAAACAATTATTTTCAATAGAATCCTTGATCAGGAAGGGCAACATGCTCATTCCTGAGTTTTAGATCCCACATTTTTCCAGATTGAAAAGCTGTGATTCAAGTAATGAATAGATTTTCTGTATCACTTATTATGGATGTGCCTGAACACCTACAATAAGCTACCATTTGTGAAATTAATGGTAGTATTCGAACCACAAAAAATGAAAGTTGCTCTTCAAAAGTCTATTTATATTTTTCAGAAAAAGCTGCTTTAATACTTGTTTGCATAGGCCAGCTTAGATATATCAAGATCTGTTCTACATTTAATGGTTTCTTCCTTCAATTTTTTTCTTTTTGTCTCATCTGTTACATCTCCATAAAAAGAAAGCAAGCCAATGGGTTCTGATACAAGGCTCCATTCAACCAAATCCTCTATCTTTTCTTTTTCCATCTTTGCCCAGGAGAGTGTTATGCTGGAGATGAAACTTTGGACCATATAAGTACTGCTTGCCCAAATGGGTTTTACAGCCTTCCTTGGGACTCAAAGAACTGCCAACCATGCCCATGCCAAAGTGGCTATGGTTGCTCAATCCTGCCGGGCACACAGGAAATTGTTTGTAACAGATGTCCTCCAGGAACCAGTGGTAAGATTCATATTTTGATGTCTGACAGTCCTCTTTTTTCCCCCCCAGCTTGCTTTCTGCAAGGGAATAGCAGGAGTCTAGCCAAGGAGTGGGAGGTTGATATGTGGCAAGACCATAAGGCATCCAGAGACATGTCTGGGGATGTCACTCTCTGCCCATCTGCAGAGAGAATATGTGATAGCAAAGAGAGGAATATGCCATTCTCTTCAATAGTTAGGATTTCCAAATAATCCTTGCAGCAACTGGGAATTAAACATTGGATGGGGTTGGGAAGGGGTGAAGAACCCCTTTGTGTAACCTTCCTCTATCTCCACTGTCTCTCTTTCAAATGCATTCTCCCTGTGCTGCTTTTTAGAAACTCAGTAGAAGGTAGTGATCTGTATAGGGGAGGGACCTAACCAGTGGTGGGATTCTGCCGGTTCTAGGTGGTTCGGCCGAACCGTTTGTTAAATTGCTGGCTCGACCCGCCCCTTGCCCCGCCCCTCCGCATCACTGGGCGAGGGATGGGCGAGCCAGCAATTTAACAAACGGTTCAGTGTTTTTTTATAATTTTATTGGCCTTGCAGCTGCCGCGGGGCTTCAAAGAGCCGCCCTACAGCTGATCAGTGTTAAAAGAAAAGAAATGAGTAGACCGACGCCTGCAAAAATAAATGGGTAGACCCAGTCACCTATCTAAGGGGAGTCAGATTGGTGCCGAAGCATTGTGTCATTGTGATGCAAGCTCCACCTCTTTTCTATGCACAAATTACTGTGGAATCATCATGGTTTCCAAATCTGGTTTTTGCTGAATGACTAGACCTACAGTCAATGAAATGTTAGTCTCTGCTGGGGCTGAATCACTTCCAAGTAGAAGTTAGAATTTAGGATTAAATACAGCCTCCATTTAAATTATTTCTTGGACAATCAGTGTAGTATGATGGGAGAATCTAGGAAAGAGCTTTTCAGCCTGACATTTATTTATTTATTTATGGAAGCAATTATTTTGTATGGTTTATTTTATAAATCTCAACCTGTAGCCTGGAGTGACATACCAAGAACATAAAACAAATTTGAAAGAAGGGATTGTATGACTCAAAGAGAAACATGAGTATTGCTGGTCAGATGGAATACAAATATCTTGCAGATATCTTCCTACCTCAGAAAATCCAATTCTAGCCTGAATTAGCAAAGAAAGGTACTACACTAATGCTATACTACATCTGTAGTTCGCATACTAGTAGTCGAACACGTCATTCAAGTTCTACAAGTCCTTGTAGACATTTTTTGGTTGACCATTTAATGCACTGAAAACAATAATAAGTTAAAAGAGTCATCAAGAAAAATAAGAAGGCTTTTCTATGATGCGTGATTTTAGAAAAAGTGTATGCATGTGTTTAAATATTTTACTTTGCTGTGGTATTGATATTTTATTGTTGTGATGCATTATTTCAGGCTTTCTTCATGTAACTCTATTGTTTTGGTTTAATCAGGTTAAACCAAAACAGGCAAGAGTTTCCTGGACTTTTTGAGGTATTGAAGGCAAGAAGAATTGCTCTTGCAAGTGCATATAATAAAAACTAGTGGAGAAAGTGTAGCAGATAAACAGCAGATAATAAAGCTCTAAGCACCACTACTTTCTCCATTAATTTTGGCAGTACATAGCTTCTCTTTCTGAAATTATTCTTAAAACTTGAGCCTCCAGGTTTTTTTTCCCTTTAATATACTCTGTTCACATCCCATTACCCCAATAATTTGTTCTAAGCACTCATGTACATATTTTTGTAGCCAAAAGTGTGGAAACTGCAGATCTTTTTTGGTTTTTTTGCCTGGATTATACCCCTGGATAACACATATTAAGAGAAAGAATTCAGGAATAATTCAAACATATTGTACAATCTGAATTGCAAGTCTGTGAGCCATTTGTGTGCATATGGAATCCCACTGATTAGAGAATGTGGATGCTTATTTAGATCTGTGTTCCAGGTAGAATTCAGGGGGAGTTCCTATGTAATTGGCTCAAGATTTCCTCTGCTTGTGTTTCACTGTTCTTTTTCTTTCTAGGTTCTCGCTGTGAGTTTTGTACCAATGGTTATTTTGGAGACCCCTTGGGTGAGAGTGGACCTGTACGACCCTGCCAACCATGTCAGTGTAACGCTGTTGACCCAAATGTTTCAGGGACTTGTGACCACTTGACAGGGGAATGCAAGTGCAAGGATGGATTCTTTGCACAACCTTTATCTGCAAACCCAGCAGAGAAATGCCAAGGTACACCATTATCTTGCACAAATGAAGGTTGGTTTCAAAGTCAATATAACCAGAGAGCTTTATCTGAATTATGAGGATAAACCAGTACAAGGGCAATCAAGGAACAGCTAAAAGGCTAAGTATAAATTGTTTTCAACACAAGATGCTTGCCATATATTATTGGTTTTAGCCAATAATGGTTGGGCTACTTGTGTAACTTTTACAGGAAAGTTATAAATTAGGTTACTGACCCTATAGACCGAAGTTTATGGGTTGGAGAGGCAGTTCTGTCTCTTAGAGTTAGTTATTCCCATGCACAGGTGGACATGGGAACTAATAACAATTGAGGTAATATATGCACTAACATAGCTTGCTGGTCTGACATACCATCATGTGGTGCTCCATACTGTGCATGTTTTATTTCTCTGGTTTGGCACGATCCTGAGAAGGTATCTAAAGACTGGAGAGCATTGGTTAATGTGTGACTTATCCCCGTTCAGTTGGCTTCCGGGTGTTCATAAATAATAGAACAATAATTCTCATTTAGTCTTGAGATTTTTATCAGCAGTATTGATTTACCAAGCTAGAATAATATAGTTCATGTCAACATGCATTATAGAGATAGCTCCTTCTGTCATCCATTTTTCCCAGTTTAAGAAAAATCTAATTATTTTACCTGTACAGGATGGATTCTGCAAATCTGAATGCACCTTTCCCCTACCTGCCTTTATCATTTAAAAAAAAAAAAACTTAGGGAGGGACAAGTTTATGACATTTTCTTAAATGTTCTTCCCCGTGCTTGTAATGCTTGTCATTACCTTCTGAGATGTTTTTGGTCTCCCTAGCATTTCTTGGTTAGCTTCCATCCAAGATCTAATTAGCTCATCCCTGCTTAATTTTTGGAGATAAGCCGAGGCAGGCTTGCTTCTGCCATCTGTTATAGATAAATGGCAAACCAAAACTAAAGTGAATTATCTAGCTATCGTTTACCCTTGTTTGTTTGTTTTTTGCCTTTCATAATTTGACATGTATTAATCTTGCCCATAGCAAAAAGTTGTAAATATGACCAAACCAATTTCTTCAATTCTGAAGATCTGCATTCAGCAAATGGAGAGGATTATTTTTTTTTTAATTAAAAATTTAAATCTCACTGATGGATTAGAAAAGAATTTGGGGTGAGAGGGAATATTCTATCTACTTTACAACATCACATACCAGTTGGGAAGAGCATTATAGGGTATAAAAGTTATGCATTAGAATCCAGACCAGAGCAATTACAATAGAGCAGCATAGATCACAATCCACTTAAAATTATGCATTATGAAGTCCAATTGATTTTCAATTGTTTCACCTTCAGAACTTTCATTTAGCTTCTAAGACAGATACTATCATTACTAAGTAGATAGGTAAAGTGGTTGAAATGAAACCATTGGTATGAATAGCCATTACATTTCTGTCCATTTTTTAAGTTTCAAGATATCAGAGGAAAAACTGAAATGCTTATGGTGTATAAGAAAAAGACATCTCAAATAATATTTATCATATTATTCCTCAAAGATAAGGTGCTTGTGTTAGTACAGCTTTTCATAAACTGTTGTCTTCTAGATGAATTGGGTCTGAAGCTACCAAAATTCCCAGCTGCTGACTGTACTGAGTGCAAATCTCTCCCCATGATCAGGATCATGTCTTGGGTATTGTCTGCTAAGGAGTGTCAGCCAGCAGGGCCCAGAAGGAAAACATTTTCTGCCATGGCACCCACCCTCTAGTATAAGGGTCTCCAACCTTGGCAACTTTAAGCCTGGCGGACTTCAACTTCCAGAATTCCCCAGCCAGCTGGCTGGGGAATTCTGGGAGTTGAAGTCCGCCAGGCTTAAAGTTGCCAAGGTTGGAGACCCTGCTCTAGCATCTCAGAAATTAGCCAGCTGGCTGGGGAATTCTGGGAGTTGAAGTCCGCCAGGCTTAAAGTTGCCAAGGTTGGAGACCCCTGCTCTAAAATATCATCATCTCAGAAATTAGATTGACCCAATCTTGTTGCCTTTTGTAAGGCCTTGAAAATTTGGCTTTGGAGCCCAGACTGGGGCCCTGGCCATTGGATACATACAGCCCATCTAGCTGGATAAAAGTGAGATGGGTGGCTATGTGGATGGATGGACAGATGGATGAACTGAGCATTGTAATTACAAAACATTTAGCTTGAAGTAAGCTGCCTTAGAGGAAAAAGAAATTGCTTTTCTAGTTTTACGTGTTCTGGTCAGGCCATCTCTAAATATTCTGCTTTTTTTCCAACCCTTTGTAGCTTGTAATTGCAATTCAGTAGGTTCTGAGCCCCTACAGTGTCGTAGTGATGGCAGCTGCATTTGTAAGCCAGGATTTGAAGGGCCTAGCTGTGAACACACTCGTTGTCCAATCTGCTACCAGGAAGTGAAGACTCAGGTAGGCTTCTCTTCTTGGTACTTGGTACCATCTTTATATCAGTTGATGGTGTGAAAATATTTTCCCCTCCCTTGCCCTTCATTCTTTGGAAATAGGACACCTGAAGTGGCTACTGTTAGTTAGAATCTGCAACGAACTTAACCAAGGCCACTTTGCAATTATGAGCAAAACCAGTATTCTGTTCAGAAGGGAGGGGGAACCCCCTTTTCTCCCTCCTTAAATAAGACACCCATGTTCAATAGGCATGATATTGGAAGAAGCACTTTATCCTGTGTAGGATAATTGGTGTAATGCTCTACTAATAAGGCATCTGCTGTTGGATTTTTTAAAATTAAAATATTTAAAAATACCTATGTTTTTCCAATCCAGATTTTTAATCAGATTAATCAGTAATAAATGAATGGCTCACAATAAGCCCATTTTTAGGTTAATTAACTACTTTTGGCTCCACAGAAATGAAAGACATCCCAATAATTGCATTTTAATTGTTCTGAGGGTTTCAGAATTGAGCACCAGGGCAATGAATAAGCAACCACAATGAGTAAATGAAATAAAAGTGACACATATGGGAGATTTGATTCCTTTGAGCCTCATTTCTGTGGTTCCTTAAAGGTCCCGGAGTTCTAATCAAGTTCTGAATGTTATTTTCTGGATGACTTTTAGTCATGTTTTAAAATTCACTTTAGCCTGCTAACAGAGATGATATGCTTTGCTTCCAGGTAGATCAATACCTCCAGCAGCTGCAGGGACTTGAGATTCTTGCCTCTCGAGTTCAGACAAGTGGACAGCCAGCAGACTACATTGAGCTGGAAAGGAAAATGAGGGAGGCAGAGGAGCTGTTCCAGAGGATTTTGAGAGACGCAGAAATTTTACAAGGTAACTCATGTCTTCCCAAATCGCTTTGTGGTCTGCAGAGAAAACAGATGTTACAGAAAAAAGGTCACAGTTGATTCATCCAAATTATATACTGTATAAAAAATAACAATAATGCATTTAATTTTTCTTCTGAAATACACCAAATTAACATCCACACAAAGACAGATAAACGATCTTCGCCAACTACTAGAGAAGGATCTGCTTTCTTCCTTTGTCAGGCTTCAGCTTTCACGGGGCACGAACTGCCGATCTTCAACATAGAACCACATGGAATTTTATCCCCAGAAAAAAAAATCCCGCCTTACTGAATCTCTATTAGTCCCCTGAGAAATGGGGCCCTTTCCACTGCTTTTCTACATTCCTCAACATGGAGTTTCATAACTCTTTAAATATGTACTGAGCCGTTAAAATTTTTTAAGGAAACTCAGTAGTTCTCCAATTCATTGCAGAAAGTACAATCCAGCCAAAGTTAATCCCCATTTCATTCCTGTTTTTTTAAAAAAATTGGGAATGTTTTAAAGATGTTTCATATTCTATTGGAATCAGTATTTTTCGACAGTGTTTAATCCTGGCTTAGTCATGGCCACAGTAAGGGACAAATAAACAAAACAGTTTATTTTAAAAGCTGATGAAATGTAATCATGTAGCTTTATTGAGGGGGAAAAAAAACACTTTATGGATCCTAATTTTCCAGCTTTTTCTAAAACTGGTTTATTTTCAAAGCAATGATGACATTGAAGGAACATTTGAAAAATTGATAAATTTATTATTACTGTGGCTGTGTTTTTTCCAATCATGTATCATCAATTATTTAAATGAAAGCCAAAGTATGTAATGTAATGTATATATGTATGTAATGTGCAACATTTAGCCATGGCTATTGTTTTAATACAAATGAATTAATACAAACTGCTTTTTAATGCAAATATTCTTATTAGTATCAGTTGATGAGATATGTTCGACTGGAACATGGATAAACAGGAAAGCATTATGCCATTTTTCTTATCTACTGTGATCCCAATAACAATCCTTATCTGACTAATTTAAACAAACAACGTGGGAACTACAGTCTCTTCACACAGGGTAATGTGAAGTTAGGGGGTAAAATATGTTAAACCGCATTTAAAATAGCCTGTCCACTTTATCTCTGATAATGATGAAGAGTAGGCAGCTATCTCTTCTCCTATCTGTTCACCGTGAGACATTGTGGCAAAAATGGTGTTTCTAAGTGGGATTTTCCAGAAATCATATGAAATCTATCTGCTTGCTAAGTGGACTTCACTCCAGCCATATACTTCATTTTTATGTCAGTATGATTTATGTTGATTCTTGTTCTCATGTGTTTCTCATCCTTTTCTTATGATGCATTAGCTACTGGCAGGGCTTTGGGGAACCGATTTTCTAAGATGAAGTCACAAGAGTTCACTTATCAGAGTCATCTGGATGAGATCAATGAAATAGCCAGCAGTGTGAACTCTCTGCGCAGTCAGTACCAGAGTCAGGTACAAGATGTCCGGAGGCTGATTGAGAAAGCCTATTTGGATTTGGATCAGAGTAAAGCAAAGATAGAAGGCGTGGCAAGTATCTTCCCTTGTTCAATTTTTTTTGGCCAGTTGGAGTACATGAAATTTAGAAAGCGTGAGCATATTGTAAATCATGAATAGATAACTATGACCAACAGTTTCCATGAAGTCCCTGGCACTTTAAGAATGTGTTGCCAAAATCCAGTGGCAAAATGGATGTATTTTGATGGAGCTCCCCCCCCCACACACACTTTAAGGGTAAGCATTCCTGTAAGAACTTTAGGGTGGCAACAAATACAGGAAGCTTCTAGGACAGTAGCCCCCATCCTTTTGGGCACCAGGGACCAATTCCATGGAGAGAGGTTTTTCCGTGGACCAGAGGAGGCATGGTTTCATGTGCTTCCTGCATCCTGCAGATGGGTCTTCGCTTGTTTGCACAGTCAGGTTTCATGCCACGGACCAGTGCTGGTCCATTGACTGGGTGTTGGGGACCCCTGTTCTATGAAGAACCTGCCCAAAATAATTTTGGATAGTGAAATGGGCAGCATATAAATGTAATAAATAAAATGAAAAACTTTCCCCATTCCCACTCTCATTACACCATAAAACCTCCTTTGCTTTGGACTTCCAAAGCAGAGATTGACAGGCACATTGGAGTTTATGGGTACCACCGTGGAGAAATATATTTGTGCAAGTGCAAGAGATCTTTATAAAACCTGCAATTTTGAGGAATGTTTTAATCCTTGTGGAATTTATGCCTTTGAAGACTGTGCTACTCAGTATCAGGGACTGCAACTAAGGAAACATTTTTTTGTTTCTCTTGGAAAAATATTGCCAAGTATAGGTCTTCTGTTCCATGTTTGTGGTCATGATGAAATCACAATTTATTACTTTTTCCCCTTCCTCAGATTGTTCCATCTTCAGATGCCACTGGAAGTAGTTCGAACAGGTTCTTAATCCTAGCCAACGAAGCCATGAAGTTAGCAAACAGGTGAATCTGTCCCAGACTGACAAACATTGTTTCTGTTACCCAGGCTCATTTTAACCAAACAACTTTTTAAGAAGTTGTCCACTGTAAAATCCTGAAGCTGTAAGTTAGATCAAGAAGTTTTCTAAAATGTCCAGTGACAATGGTGAATTGCTTCATGTTTTTGCCAATATGGTTCTCCCATATTCTTTGGGCAAGAGAGAAGGATGGTAACTACCTATGGATAAGCTTCACTCTCTCACCACCTTGTTTATTTCTTCTTTTTTTCTTCAGTCACCTGCAGATGGCAGATACCATTGAGGAAGCAGCCAGGGCAGCAGAAGATGCCTCCCAAGAAGCACTGGCATTGCTGCAGGCCTTTGCAAGTGGAGAAAGTATTGGGACAACATCTGTGCAAGGGCTCCAGAAAAAGTGAGTTGGTGGGCTTTGTTGGGGTTACTGTAGGAGATGACCAGGCTGAGCCTGAGGGAGGTGAAATGTGTCATCAGCCTCAAGTCCAGGGGTGAAATCCAGCTGGTTCTGACAGGTTCTGGAGAACTGGTAGCGGAAATTTTGAGCAGTTCGGAGAACTGGCAAATACTGTACCATCCCTGGCTGGCCCCAGAGTGGGATGGGAATGGAGATTTTGCAGTATCCTTCCCCCAGGAGTGGGGTGGGAATGGAATTTTGTAGTATCCTTCCCCTGCCATGCCACGCCCACAGAACTGGTAGTAAAAAAAATTTGGATTTCACCACTGCTCAAGTCCCTTCGTGCCCATAAGAGATCTAATTCCAGCCCACCTTGAATTCCATTAACTCTTATCCACCACCAATTTGCTTTGATCATTAGTAGTTCAGACTCTTGTAGAGAACTTAAGCTTGCAATAAATCCTTATATTCATTTGAACTGCCTGGGTTTCTACCCTTGACAGTCATCATCTACTTTTTCTCTAGATCTCATCATATCAGGTCAAAATCTTAATGTTATTGTTAAAAGCAAACCACATTTATGGGGACTATATATAGATTGGTAATGTTATTGTAAAGTGAGACAGAGATCCTCCTCCTCTCTGAGGGATTCCTCCCATAGGATGCCAAGATTAGTCCAATATCAGAAACTGGTATGTGTTTTCAAATGACTGCCCTCACTTATAGTACCTGAGCCCAGTTTCTCCTCCTCCTTTTTTCAGTAAGAAGGCAGTAACAAGAATGAAAACAAAAAGTAGTAACCTCTGCTTGCCTCTCCATTTGGAATTAGAGGGCCTAAATCAGTGGTAGCTAACTTTTTTGGCACCGAGTGCCGAAATTGGAACGTGCGCCGGAGCACCGGAACCTGGAAGAGAGCAGCTGGCTGGTGCGCATGCATGTGGCAACCAGCTGCTCTTCCAGCACATATGCGCTCCGGATAGCTGGTCTGAGGTACATGCACACTGTACAGTTGCTTTCTTCCGGGTTCCATCCGGGTTCCATCCATTGTACTCTGGGTGTGCACAACGGAACCCGGAAGAGCAGCTGGCGATGCTGCACATGCCCACAGAGAGGGCTCTGCACGCCTGCCACAGGTTCGCCATCACGGACCTAAATCTTAAAGGATGCCATTCTAAACAAAGAAAAAGTCTGATTGAAGACATGATTTTGAGAATGGTTTTAAACATGAATTAGGCTTGTTAAATTTTCCATTAAAAGCAAAACAAAACCTTATTGGTGTCTCTGATGCTGCACTGCAGAACTTCAGAAGACCCCTGCTCGTCTGGAGCCATGGTAGCTCAACCATTTCCACAAATGGTTGATCAGTTGCCATGGAAACCCACATGCATTGAATAGCATCCTTCCACTCCTGCTTCTCAAAAAGCAAACAATTTCTAATACTTCTATATATACACATATATTTTAAAACTACCCAAAGTAACCTCCTCAGACTGTAAGCTCAAAAGTTTAACTATTGTAAACATTTTTTTCCTTTTTTCCTCTCTTTTTTCCGCTCTCTCTTTCCTCCCTCACATTAGATATTCCTGGCTTCTAGTTTTTTAAGAGAGGCCTATCATTACTTTTATTTTATCTATTTCCTTCTATTAATCCTTGTTAACCTTCTGCTAAATTGAAGAATCCTTAAAGTGTAAATTTCCTAATAGGAGACTTTGCACTCCAACTCCTATAGAAAATGGTAATTTTGGTGCTCTTTTATGTACCTTGTCCAGAACTGGACTTTTCTTTCTTGAAATGTGATGACTTTTTACTATCTCAAGAGTAGTAAACTTAATTTTGGGGTGGTGGCTAATAGGACACTTTTAATGCAGTGTTGAAGACTATTTCTGTTCCGTTATAGATAGCACCGTGTAGGTTCCATTTCTTGATTGCTGAGGGAATACGATAGAATGGTGGAACTTGACTTTTATTGAAAATGATGAAGATATGAATATGAATTCTCCATATGGCTTTTTACCAGTTATTTTGAATGATTAAAAGGCGAAGCTCAGAAATCCAATATTGAATTTATTATTATTTCTTTATATATGCTGGGCTGAATATAATGAATGGTTATGAAAAAGAGATTTAGTTACTCTTGGTTTCCCAACCTTTCCAAAGGGCTTTCCTCTGTGCTATGCTATGTGAGAAAAATAAGAGGAAAAGAGGAGCAACTCCAACACAAATAGATAGATCATCTTGGTGAAATGTATATTGTCATAGGAATAAAAAAAGCACATAATTAATCAAACACAGCAAAATCATATTGGCACATCTCTTCTTCTATTCCTGGGGCGGAGGTGGGTGGGACAATGATGGGGATGTCATCTCATGAAATAACTTCAGAAGGATCATGGGATTCATCTCCTGACCTGGATTCTTAAGCAAAGAAAAATCAGTAGTGTGTAAGGTAACCAAACGTAGAGCAGGTTTCTCTACTCTGATTTTGCATTCTCCAAATTACATGTGAGTTAAGCCAAGATGGGATAAATCAGGATAAAGCATTAGGGGGTGAGAAAGAGAGACTTCCCCCTTTTTAGGCTCAAAAGTTTTACTCTGATCTCCAGATATGATGACCTGAAGCTGCTGACGAAGGAAATGGAGGCTGATGCTAGCCAAGCTGCCTCTAACGCTGAAAGGGTCTATCAGGATAGTCAGCAGCAGCTTGGCTCCCTGACTCATTTAACAAAGACTGACACAAAAGTTTTTCAGGTAAGGCTTGTGTTTGTGATTAATTGTAGTTCTTCCAAGAGATTCCTAGAAATGTCTTTGTTTTACTTCATGCATTCATTTCTTCAACAACGGATATTCTGGCAAGGGGAGAGAGAAGCTCTGGCTGTATCCACAAGGATGCTTTGCTGTGTTCTTCTGACAGGACCCCATGCTGCCCACAATGTGACTTTACCGCCCACCCAGAAATGGGTCTGTGCGGTGCTGCTTTCTAGGCACCTTAACCTATGACATCCCAAGGGCTATGATTAGTTGTCTCCTTGGTTATAATATCTATGCTCTCTGTAATCAGTGGAACAACTTGCCTTCAGAAGTTGTGGGTGATCCAACACTGGAAGTTTTTAAGAAGAGATTGGACAACCATTTGTCTGAAATGATATAGGGTTTCCTGCCTAGAAGATCTCCAAAGTCTCTTCCATCTCTGTTCTGTAATGATATGTGGGAATGATCATGAGAGATCGGACGAAGAGATACAATGAAGGGAATAGTCAGATAAAAGGCAATTTAGCCCTCAGTAGGAATGTGGACAGGGCCAGTGGCTCAGAAGAGAGCCTCCCTAGTTTCTTGGGCTGTAAAGGGAACCAAGGAAGAAATGTATTTTCAGATTTGCAAGATTCTGTCAATCTTTATTGTAACCATACAATAAAGTAGAATTGGTTCATTTGCCATTTATTCCTGTTTGGTCTACCTTGCACGGCTGACACTTCCCAACATAGTCCATCTGCCCAATACTGTCAACTATTCTTTCACCACTCTATCAGTTAGCACTTGGGTTACTCTAATTTTTCCCCCTATTTCTTTCCATTTGTACTGTCTACTGACTGAACTTTTTGACTGTATGATCTTTTGATCATTCACTGGCAGCAAAGAGTTAGGGGGATTTTTTGTATCCTTTGGCTGTCATCTAGTGTTCAACCAGATTTGTACAAATGAGATACAATGTTTGGATAAGTGTTCCTGAAGAGCTGGAGTTTTAAAAAGGGGTTTACTGCCAAGGTCAGTGTGGGAACATTGAAGTATCCTAAGAACATGGTGTGTGAGAAGAACTGAGAAACCAGGACCTCTCTGGGAGCAGTGGACATTGGAAACAGAATTACCCACCTTTCAAGTTTCAGAAGTACAAAAGCCAAACTCGTAATTACTCTTTGGGTTTTGTCCAATCAATTTCAGAGCTTGCCCTCTTTAGGTTAACTGTTTTCCCTCACTTTCTCCTCTGGTGTTTTAGGAGGAGGCTGGACAGCTCCAGCAGAAAATGGACTCTTTATCAGGCTTCATAGAGACTTACATGGCAGAGTATAAGCAGCTGAAAAGCAACCTAGGGAAGTGGGAGGAAGAGATCAAAGTGTTATTGGAAAAAGGCCAAAATGACAGACAGGTAAGTAATCAACATAAATATAAATCGTACGTTTTGTGGTCCATAAAGTATTTACTCTTCAGCAGAGAACTTTGAACCAAAATTTTAATCACAGATTTTATGACATTATGGCATGTTTATGGTTTGTTCTTTGTTTCTATATGAACATTAAAAATATTGACTAGGTTTATGTCACTCTTAGAAACCCCCACTAGAAGGCACAGAGACATCCCCTGAAGTATACAAAAAGTCTGAACGTGGTCTGTAAATAACTGTTGACCTTCTGAGTCTTAGGTGAAAGGTCCCTAGTAGGCAAATCCTTTATTTCTGTACACAGCACAGATGTAGAACTGAAGTTTCAGGCTGTGCATTTTCATGCTCTTGTCTTCCTTTCTGCTTACAGTCATCAGTTCAATTGTTGTCTCGTGTCAACCTTGCCAAGCAAAAAGCCCAGCAGGCAGTGACTGCTGGTGATTCTGCTTTCAATGATGTTGAGAATATCTTGAAGAAGCTGAGGGGTGAGTTGCACATGGATCTAAACAAGTTGCAAGTTTCTGATGGGGCTTGGGAGTAGTGGGTAAGATAGTGCAACCCTTTGGATTCAGTCCCAAAAGGTATTTCATCTCTGCATCTGCTAGATGATCTGGTAGGAAGACAAAGCTGGTGTAAACTGCAGAGGTTATACACTGTATGTGGAGTTTCACATACTCCCTTTTTGGAATCAATTTTACTGTGTGTAATAATGGGTGAGAACTTCATTGAAGGACAGGCTAGAAATAGCTATAATGATCATGTAAAAACTTTAACAAGAAACAGATTCACATCACATGAATATACATCAAGAAAAGAGGTGCTGAATTCTTTACATTCTTTAATGTGATGTTTATTTCAGTAAGCTCTTGGATTCTTTTAAAAAGTTTGTGTGTGTGTGTGTGTAAGTAAGTAAGTAAGTAAGGGAAAGATAACATAATTGTATAGATAGAGAAATTTGGTTAGAGCCATGAAGATCATCCCACAAGTGCTTGTTCAAAAGGCAACTGGACTTTTTATTTTTGCTTGAAAACCTTTCACTTCTCATCCAAGAAGCTTCTTCACTTCTTCAGTTGAATGAAGAAGCTTCTTGGATGATAAGCGAAATGTCTTCAATGAATAACAAAGAAAGTCCAGTTGCCTTATGAAAAAGCACTTTTGGGACAACCATGACCTGGGTGACTGAGAATCTCCATAGACATTGAGCCATTTTTTAAAGTTTGCTGGCACATTTTCAAAATCAAGGTTTTACATTTCTTTTCTAGGACAATGTAGCTTGAACATTGAACATTCTTTTAAACCATCTACATGATTATTAGTTTTGCATTTTTGTAATATTGTGTATCAATGATTATGTTGACATATTTCCTGAATTTCTTTATTCTTACAAGTGTAATTCTGAACATCTCAGTTTCCCCCATTTTTGCTTTGCTTTTAAAGGGTTGGGCAGGATTAGTATCTTCCTATACATTAAGACTTTCAAAAAAGATTGAAAATGGGAACAGTTTGGAGGTTAGTCTGATAATCAGGACAAAATCTAGGCTTTTTCAGTGATGTTAGTTTAACATTTGGAAATTCTCTCCTCAAGAAAACATGTTCCTCTTTTGTCCTCATCATTTAGTAACCAGTAAAAACATTTTTATCCCAGCAGTCATTTGAGGCAAAGTTTGTAGTTGAAAATTCCAGATTTAGGGGAGATTTTGTCTCATGAATGAAGGCAAATATACATGTCCCAGGATAATGTTGCAGGATCCAGTCTGGGTCGGTCACTGGGACCAGAGGTTTTGTCGCTCGATATTCAGATTCTAAAGTTGCAATATCACAACATCTGGCTCCAGTTCTCTGCACGAAGTCCATCTTATTCTATATCTTGTACCATTTTCCTCTTTAATCTACCCAAACTTTTAATCTCAAAGTATTAGAAAGTGATAATTCAACAAAGCTGAGGCACAAATAAGATAACTTACTCTGTTCATTTGATTTTTTAAAAATTTATCTTTATTTTCTCCACCTTCTGTTTATAGATTTTAATTTTCAAGCAGGTGACAAGCAAAAAGAAGCCTTGGATGCTATGCAAAGATTACCATTCATCATCAATAAAGTTGCAAGCGCCCGTGAAAAACTGAGGCGTGTAGAAGCAACCCTGGGCAAGGCTGTTAATGAAGCAGAGTCAGCCAGGAGAATGTCTGGTGAAGCAAGGGAGATTGCTGAGAACATTGATCAGGTACAGAGGAGTGGACAAGAGTGTTAGGGTTAGCAATCTGGATATGGAAGAACTAGTGAGCATGAGGATGGATGACAAGTTATTTCCTTTCATTTGACTTTATATCATTGAAGGTTTAGATTGAATAGCGTGCTGTCCTTCAAAATTTCAGCAACTATAGGAAGTTCTTTACTTAGCATTTGGATATAACTTCAGATTATTCAGAATCTGTCACAGATACTTTCATGTATTCATTCTTACAAGAAATCTATTAGACGTCAGAATAATTGAGAGCCAATTTGGTCTAGAAGTTAAGGCACCAGGCTAGAGACTAGAAGACCATGAATTCAAGTACTGCCTCAGCCATGAAAGCCAATTGGGTGACTTTGGGCCAGTCACTCTCTCTCAGCCCAACTCACCTCACAGATTTGCTGTGGGGAAAGTAGGAGAAAGATGTGTTGGATATGTTCACTATCTTCAGTTATTTGTAAAAATAATAAAGGTCGGATACAAATATATAAATAATCATCTCACATTGTGGATGGACAATTGAAACTGGGAAATATTAGTTTTCCTGAGACCACTGGACATATTCTGGCAAAGTGAGATTTACATCAAAGACTTCCCATCTCTCATTTGAGTTGCTTATCATTATTGCTATAGCAGCTTTCACCTTATCCATAGATGGGAAAGAAGTATTTGGCAGGAACTGGAGTGATCAACTGATCCTTTGTGGTTATGTACATCTGATATTGCTCAAAAATGAATATTGACTTGGGTTTGACTCCATAATTAAAGGTACCATTAATTATCAGCAATGGGGTAAGATAGAAAAAATACTGAGAGTAAGGAGGCTTCCTGTTCTAGTTCACAAAAAATTCATTGGGAGATATTAGCTCCATCACTTTCTCTCAGTCTGGGGGTTCAAACTCAAGGCCCATGGGCCAGATCCAGACCATGAAATGCTTAGATCTGGCCCACAGGGCCACCCTGGAAACAATGAAGGACCTCCCAAGTGTTCTGCCAGTGAAAACCATCTCCCAAGCTCTATTTCCGGCTGCGACGGCCTCCTCTGGCAGAGGGTTACAGGCCGTTGCAGCCAGAAACGGAGCTCAGGAGCTGGTTTTCACCGGTAGAGCATTCGGGCTGCCGCAGGTGCCGCTGGCATGAGTGACATCAAGCAGGCCACACCCACTCTGGCCACACCCACCCCGGGCCCCCTGAGGTCAAACACAAACCTGATGCGGCCCTCAATGAAACTGAGTTTGACACCCCTGGTCTAATCTATCTCCCAGGGCTTTAATGGGAAAAAATGAGGAAGGAGCACTATGTATGGAGTCTTGAACTTCTCCATAAATTTGGGGTGTAAACCTGAAAAATAAAAGAGGTATCTGATAGAACCATTGTTTTGGGGATTTTTTGGGGGGTTAATGTCTCAGATTTGTGGGTTTGCTTGAAAATTGTTACAATTGCTTATTACTTCTGCACATCAAGCCATCAAACTTGTTTCTTCAAATATCCATCAGAATATCCTCTGTTGATTTTTTTATATTTTTTCCCCTTGTATTTGCATTTCCAGGAGATAGGAAGGCTGGCCTTGGAAGCAAATCGGACAGCAGATGGTGTGCTTATCTTGGAGAGTGGGATCATGTCTCTGAAGCATGAGGTCAAACTTGTGGGGGAAGAATTGCAAGAAAAGGGAAAGGCGATTGATATGGATGCCTCCATGGCTCAAGGGGTAAGTTTCCAACTTTGCCTTTTTTATAATGGGTGCTTTGAAGAAACTTCTGTTTCTATTAGAAAGCCTACTGAGCAGGTTAACATAATCTAGTACTGATATTTCTCCAGATAACTGAGGCATCCCAGAGAGCCAGAGCCAATGCTGTTAGTACTGCGAATGCTGTCCAAGACATACTCAGATTCCTAGAAGATGTTTCACGCATGATAGGTAAGAAGAAAGTGGTTTATGGCTAAAGTGTAATTTGGTTTCATTACCGGATGATTCAAGAAAAGTTAATTAATCAGGTTAAGTCAATTATAATAGACAAAAACAAACATGTGTTGATCATTGAACATGAGGGCAACAGGAGAGCAAATAATTTTATCATCATTTGAATTCTTATGATATTCTGTAAAAGTATGAAAGGGATATTCAATGTGTATTTTTTGTTTACTGTATTTGGGCTATTTCACAAAGGTAACCCTCTTGAGGTGTCAATGATAGAGAATATATGATGATATTATGCCTTTAATAAAAAGTTGAAATCTTCACTTAAAATTTTCGATCTTCACTTAAAATCTTCATTTAAAATGTAAAAGCAGTTTATCAAATTTATCGCTCAGATAAACTTTATAGATGACAACCAGCAGCTTGAATTGTACCCAAAAGCCTACTGGGAGCCAGTGCACCTCCATGGGGGTGGAGAAGTATAGTTCAGCATCATCAGAATACTGATGATACTTCATCCTGTGCCTTCAGATGACCTCATCCAAGGAGTTTATGTAAATATTAATCAGGAATGGGGCAGGGGTGGGTTTCACTTACCTTTGCTACTGGTTCGCATGCTCATCACGTCTGCGCATGTGCAGAAGCTTCTGCACATGAGCAGATCGTATTTGATGACGTCTGGGCAGGTGGGCGGAGCCTCCTGCTGCTGCTGCTACTGGTTCGCCCAAACCTGGGCGAACCGGTAGCAACCCACCACTGGAATGGGGTGAGTGCCAAGCCCTGAGGTCCTCCACCCTCCATCAACACCAAAACTGATTCCAGAGGAAGGGAGTACAAGATAACAATACTCCAATCAACCCATTAAAAAAAAAACCCATACCCAATCAGACCCCACATAAATACACATAGAACAGCTCAAAGCACACATTCTGATAGAGAGAAGTTCCCTAAGGATGAACTCCACATGAGTCCAAAAGCTTGGAAGACTAAACCTCTGGTCCTTGTGACTGACCCAGATTGGATCCTGCAACAAGATAAAGCTCCCAATTTTTAAATATGGTGTTGGTCCAAAACGATTCTATAATTAATAGTATCAAAAACTACTGAGAGATTAAGGAGGACAAGGATGGATAAACTACTTCTATCCTATTCATAAGTCATGCATAAATACTGTGTTTCCCCGAAAATAAGATGCTGTCTTATATTTTTTTGCCACCAAAAAGGCACCAGGTCTTATTTTTTTTGGTGGGGAGGGGAGATGTCACCCACTGACTCATCTCACTTGCATGCATCACCCCCGGCCTCTTTTTCGCTATCAGAGGCCTTCAGGAATTTCTTCATCCGGCAAGGCTGGCACGGCTTTCCTGAAGGCCTCTGTAGCCGATAACAGAGCTCTGGATTGATCCCTAGCTTTGTTTTCAGCTAGAGAGGCCTTCAGGAAAGCCTTGCCGGCTGCAGCAAAAGAAATGGGCTGAGGTGTGCGTGGCCTGGTTGCAACTATCCGAAGGTAAGTAGTAGGGCAGCTCCACCGCTCCATCCCCACCCTAGTTTAATTTTTACCCCTGCACCGTGGAGTGGGCGAGGTCTTAATTGGGGCTTATATTGGGTGCACATGTAAAAAGCAAGCTAGGACTTACTTTCAGAGTAGGTCGTATTTTCAGAGAAACACAGTATGTTCAATGCTGTCTTAGTCCCATAGCCAGATCTTAAATCATATTGAAAAGAGTTTAGGTTATCTGCTTCCTCCAGCTCTCCACTCCCTCTCTGAAGCGCCAACATGACCACTTTCTCAACAACCTTCCTTAAAAAGGGAACATAAATTATCCAAAATGGTCACGTCTAGCAATGCATCTTGAGCAAGGGGCAGACCACTCCCTCTTTATGTACCAGCTAGACCACTCCCTTTCTCAAAGATATGTTCATCATAACCATTGTCATTTTTCAGAGGAATCTGAGAAAAAAGTGTGCATTCGCTAACAACTTCAGTGGCTTTGATTCTTGGATTATGAGGCAGCTACTTATGTAGCAGTTTGGAATTATGGGTTTAGCAGAACATATTCTTCTGTTACTCTTTTGCTAGGACAACTAGAGGATGTGGATGATCAAAGTGTGAACAAGCTTGAAACTAATCTTGGCAACGCCAGAACAAGAAACAACCAGTTGAAAAAAATGATGCTGCAACTGGAGGAAACAGCCAGCTGGCAGAAGCTTCGACTCCAGACACTGGATAGTAGCATTACTGAGATCCTTGCAGATATCAAGAACTTGGAGATGATCCAAGATACTCTTCCTCCAAAATGTTACAATGTACAGGCCATTGAGAGACCTTGAAGACCTTGCTGCGAAACCAGACTTCCATCAACCCCATTTACCAAGCCATGGACAAACATCAGGGTTAGAGAAATGATTTTGGGGTGAAATGAAGAGATGCCAGCCTTACAAGAACGGCTGCTTGTGACTCCACCGAACAGGTCCCTTGGAAGGTCTGTTCATCAGGCTACTCTGCCTTGTGAGGCAACCACTACCTTTCAGCAGCAGCACAATTCGAAGGGAATGTAATTCAAGCCCCAACACTCTTGAAAAAACAAGGGAAAAAAAAATCTGTTGATATGACAGAGAAGCCAGCCCATAAAGAACAGTGTGGAAGAGGCTGGATAAGTAGGATATGTATTTTCCAACATATAAAATCCTATGTATTTTTCTTGTTTCACCTGAAGGTGCTATCCCAGATGGTCATCTACTATTGACTCTCCACTTTATTTAGCCCTCGATCTTCTTTTCAACTGTGATTCAGTAGAAGAAAATAGATATTGCTGCACCCTGCTAAATTTATTCTGCTCTATTATCAAAATTCTAGGCAATGAATAATTTGTTCCAATGCAAAGATCCAATGTGAGATGGCTTCCAGGCCTGACATAATTAACTTTTCCAATAACATTCTAGAAATCCTTTTTCTATCCAAAAACATTTTTCCCCCACTACCATTTCTGTGCAGCAGTGAAATGCACTTACCTTCGCTACCGGTTTAGGGAATGTGAGCATGTGCGCCTCTTCTGCGCATGCGCAGAGGGTCAGAAATGGGATGTAATGATGTCCCAGTGGATGGGCGGAGCCTCCCACCACCGGCACTACCGGTTAGCGCGAGCCGGATAGATCAGGCTGGATTTTACCGCTGCTCTGGTGGCTGTTCAGATAATCATATAGGAGATGGAACATGTATCTATCCATAGACCTAAACCAGTTTTACAATAATTACCTCAGGCCAGGGATTCTGGTAACTCTCGTTCTGCGATGGGAAGATTTTAGTAGAATGTTCAGTAAACTGATGGAAAGACAATCCCCAAGCAGGAAAGTGTGGGCCTTTATACACAGGTTACATAAGCTTGTATAAATAGGCCTGCCTTCGATAGATGTGTTTTCTTCATTTTCCTTTATTTACTTTCTCTCCACTTACTAAATGACAAACTAGGACGGGAAGAATTTAATAAGGGCAGTGGTCCAAAAGGTGGATTTTTTTGGAGGGTGGGTACCGATGTCACCTCAGTCTTGGTGTGGCATTCAGATCACTTCTTTGTCAATTTAGATGATTCAACCGTTGTCCCAAGATTTATTACACACTATGGTTCTATTCTTTCCTGCTGAGGTTCAGAATCAGTTCCTGAAATACAAAGTAGGGTCTGCTGAGTTAAATTAAGAAAAAAGATAGGTTGAAATTGTGGCACATGAAAAATCTTAATGGTTTGCTGAATTAGGATTAATATGAACTAAGCTTATATTTTTGCTTGTTCATATTAATAAAGCCCTCTCTCCCACTAAAACAGCAGTTAGGGTGTATCCCAGCAGGAAGTTCCTTCAAAAATATAGTGCTCCATCTACTCTCTCAGGCAACCTTAGTTAGAACAAATGATTCAATAAAACCCAACAGGAAGAAACCTTACAGACTTTCATCTTTTTACTGGCAACCTCATTCAGTTACTTTGGACAGTCTCTGGACAGTCCTTTGCAAACGATTGTATCTGGGTCCATACTGCAAAGTATGTGCTGTACTATTCAGCTACACCAGGGGTGCCACGTTGCCGTGATGTATCGTAACTTCCCCCCCCCCTTTGCTAAACCGGGGGTGGGCATGGCCAGAGTGTGACGCATCCAGCCCATGCCCCGTGAGTTTGACGCCCTTGAGCTACATCAATCAAATCCATCCCCTACCATTAATTTTTTGGGATCAGTCACAGTCTCTCAGTCTAGTTGTACAGTACTCCAACAAATTTGTTGTTACAGGAAAAAATGAAATTGAAAGACCATAGTCCTGGAGTAAAAGCGGGATATCTCTTTGTTCAATAAAAATATAAATTATGCCATTATACAAAGGTTTAATTTGAGAGATTTTGGGGAAAAACAATACTTTTATGATGCGTTGCTTTCTAACAGGATTCTGCTTCTACACAAAATAGTGTGTTCAGCCTAGGATATTTGCACAGCTGATATTCTGTCTGGTTTGTATTTAGTTTGTTTTAATCTTTTTTTTAAAGAGAGAAGAAACCTTTTGTCATACTGTAAACAGAAAATATGTCCCCAAATTCCCTAACATCAAAGCAACATTAAAAGCCAACAAAATTTAATTAGCATTTTATTTTTTATATCCTTTTAAACATTTTTTTCCAATTTCAACATTGTCTTTGTGATTATGACCATTTTAGCAATAATGATCGAACTCCAGCATATTACATCAGTGTAAAACTGACATTTTCAAATCTTTTTTTCCTTTTAACATTTTTTTAAACAAAGCGAAGTTTAGTTTAAAAGGGCAGGTTCAGTAACGATAAAGAATTTTCTTCCTTCCCCATGTAGCTAAAATCCATATTTTGTGTCAAGGTAAAATCAGTCTGATAGTCAATCTCCAACTTTTACCAAAGCAATCCCACTTGCGTGTTCCGAATCACGGTTTCTCAACCTTAGCAACTTTAAGAGATTTGGGCTTCAGCTCCTGGAAGCCTGGCTGCTGGCTGGGGAATTCTGGGAGTTGAAGTCCATACCTCTAAAGTTGCTAAGGTTGGAAACGTTGCTCCAAATGGATGCTACACCTGCTCCCCTCTCCCCCACAATCATAAGCATAACTGAGAATATGAAGGCAAAGAGTACTGTAGTAAGACTTTATATACATAATCTGTATCACAATGCTACGTTTCTAAGGCATGCTGTCCTAAACTGGATGAAATTGGAAAGTGGCCCCAATAATCCATCTTTTTTTTGTTCAGAGAAACGGAGATATCATCCTGTTATTTCCTTGTCATGTCCTACTTGTTTGTGTCCAACCAAAATTGTCCTTTACGCCTTTTGGGAAGTCTAGGTTTACAGTCACACACACATACAACCACACACACAGAATCACACATGCGCGCACACAGAGTTGACTATGTGGTTGATGGGCATTGAATCTTGCAGCTTGGCATTAAGACCAATAGTGGATTGTAGCAGGAAGTGAATGAGAAAGTGCTTCAGAAGTTGTAGCTGATATGTCTCACAGGACAGCGGGAGGGCGATTTATCTAGTAATGTAGGCTATCTAAGCCTTCTCTGAGTAGAAAAATTCTTATCAAAGACACTGTCTCTTGTACATCTGCCTATGCTAGCAGTGAGTACCCCGGAGTACTCAGTACTTTGGATGATGAGGATGAGCCTCATCAAGACATCTCTAACCTCAGCTATTCTGTCTGGTTTCTAAGTGCTTGTTTGGATGGCAGCTGGTTCTCATAAGCAACAGTTCACATCTGAGATTGTGCGCACAAGGAATTCAGCAGGACATTGTCATACCTTGTTTGCTCACATTTCACAGGGAAATCCACATGACGTTACCAGCCATCTGGTATTTTTTTTTTCCCCAGTGCTACTTCTGCCGCCTTCTTACTTTATAAAAAACATCATTTGTGAGAATAAAAGAGTAGCATAATAGCCACAGATGTAAATGCTGATTGTGATAGTCCATCTTTTTTAGGGTATGGTTTAGATGCAGGCACTGACATTAATTCTTGCAATGGGTGTTAATTTAGAAACCCATTTCCCCCCCTCATCAATCTTAGTACTAAAGTGCTTCCCTGGCTATAGTTTTTTTTTTAAAAAAGAAAGAAACGACATAAATAGAAGAGTATTAAAACACGGTAACACTTCAACTTTGTTTTTTTGTTTTTTTTTTACAAAAATCCCCATCTTTCTGGCTGGTTTTTTTTTTTTTTTTACCAGTTCTGTCCTTCCTAATTAAATACTTCTAACTTTGCAGTCTGAAATAGGCAAACTCATTTCAATGAATAAACACACAGCACAAAATAAACAGGTTATTATCATTACTTTTTTTTCATAAAAAGGATCATCACTAAGGTTTCTCCCCATAGCTGAACTGGATCCTCCTGCTCTATGTGCTACACTGCCAGTCGTGTGGAAAACTCAAGCTGTTTTCCTAATTGTGAAGCTGCCTTTTCCCACCACTGATATTCTCTAATGATCCTAGTCCCTCTCAGTGTCCATAACACGCACACACTACTAAACAGCCATATTAGTGGACCATTTAATCTACTCCAGCTATTAGGCAGCTTCTTTGTAATTGTTGTGTTTTGGAGGGGGTTTGCTTTTCATATGGAGGATAAAGTGTCTATTTTACAGCATAAACTTGAGCAGCAGTTTCCTTCCGTCAAGGGAAAGACGACCCATGGAAAACAAGCTGCCAGACTGTAGGACCATGTACAATTGTTGCCTACAAGAAATATACATGTACTTCCCTGACAGAAGAAAATAACAAACTGAAAGAGCCTACAATTATAGAACCAGCCACGGTACACCATGACAAGTAGTTAAACTCCAAATGGGTTTCTGAAGAACATGAAAATCCAGGAACAGACAATTGAGGGCCACATCACTAACTATCATTCAAGAGACCTGTGTTCTGTGGCTCTTTCCCCACTTTTAAGAAATGCTCCTTTTAAAAAAGATGTGAGAGTACAACAGCAACCCAAATAAAAACATGTCATCCTCTCCTTCGGAAACAGATTATCTATTTACAATGGGGGGAGGGGAGGGAGAGATGCTAAATACGAAGCAAACTTGCTTTCTGAGCTTTTTACCCTTAACCTTTAAAAAAGAAAAAAGGTTCCCGTTGCAGAAAAGCATTACAAATGAGCAGTTCTATTTTTCTGCTTTCTCTTGTTTTCTTTGTGTTCACTTCAAAATTCTTCTATCAATGACCTAAAATATCTGGTGGGCGTTTTAGTTTTTAATAACCTTGCCACCTCATTGTCATGGTAAAGGATGGCAATTATTAAAAAAGCCAATTTGGCGGTGGGGTGGTGGTGGTTGAGAAAGCCAATGAGAAACAGTAAGAATAAAGAGCCCCACCCAGATTTATTTAGCCAACAGTGGGAGAGAGGAAGGGAAACAGAAGAGCCATCATCCTGCTTCCCAAACCATGCTGGAAAGGCAGGTGATGTTGTTTCCTCTGTTGCATGCTGGGAAGGGCAATCCGAATCTTCTCCCTTTAAGCAATAGTGCCCGATATTCTTTACTCTTTTCCCTCCTAACTGCAAGGGGAGAAGGGTTGCTTGATGGCATATGTACTTGGCTGTTAGCTGTAGGCAGCAATTCCCGGGGCTGGACAAAAAAAAAAAAAAAAAAAAACTCAGAGTGGAATAGGCAGATGCACGCAAGAGGCATTGAGAAAAAAAACAAGAGTGAGAAAGAGAACCGTGATGAACAATCATAGGAAGGTGGCGCCACATGGCAGCTTTGCCACAATGCCAGCATGAGCTTTAACCGGAGGCATTCAGGTACAGCTGGCTCTTAAGGATGTAATCAATGACTGGCTGAGAGAGGTAATCCACCACATGCCCGTCGCCATGCTGAAGGGCCAGTCTGTGAGGGGTGGGGAGGGAAAGAAGGAGGAAGAGAAATCATTAATCAAGTTACTTTCGAGCCAGATAGGTATATAGTCCAGGCTACTCATCTTCTGGTTCTTCCTAGGCTAACTAACTCTGTTTGCTAGCTGGCCCATTTCTTTCTTTCTTTCTTTTTTAAATTTGTAATTTTATTACAAATATATGTATTTGTAATAAAATACATATATATGACATTCACATAACATACAACATATACATATCTTATCTCTCTTAAGCATTGTTTCTTTGTGGTCTTCTTTCTGTTATTTTATCTTTCTTCCCCTATGTCTTCATTTCTTTCTTCTTCTTCCCCCCCATTGTCCTCCCCCCCCCAAAAAATCTGTTTTTTATCTTTAACAAGCTTAACTTTGTACTCTGCAATTATTATCTACATATTTTAGTTATATCTTTGCTATTATACATTTCTATATTCTTGTTATATACATTTTTATTCCATTCCATACATTTGTTATATATATATTTTGTACTTCTAATTTTCTCCCCTGATAGTTATTATTCTTTATTTCTAGTTTTAAGCCATTTATACCATTTATTCCATATTCTATAATAGTCTGTCTCTTCTTTTTCCTTAATTTCTTTTGTTAATCTGTCCATCTCAGCACATTCTAAAATCTTATCTATCAATTCTTCCTCAGTTGGAGTTCTTTCCTGTTTCCAGTTTTTGCATAAACTATTCATGCTGCCGTTAAGATGTGTAGCATCAAATATTTTATTTCCTTGGAATATGGTCTTGTAAAAATTCCTAACAGGAATGTTTCTGGTTTTCTTTCTATTTGTTGGTCTGTTACTTGTTCTATCCACTTCTTAATATTTGCCCATTTTTGCTGCCGGGCACATCCACCATAGATGGTAATATGCTGGCCCATTTCTAAGAGACACATTGAAGAGCAGAAGCAAAAATGGTCCTAGATTGCAATGAGCAATCTTTTGATGGCAAAGAGCTTCACTTAATGTTGTTGGGAGAAGGGAATTGAGGATTGCAAAGGAGAGGTGGCTAGATGACACCTGTGGGCAGAGTGAGCTTCATCTGTGACGAATCTATTTCAGATCCTGCACAGTTTTCATCAATTTCCCACCATTCAGTGTAGGGAATTTGGGTCACAGCTTGCAGCAATAATGGTCAGAAGATTCTCCAAGGCCTGCCAAAAAGGGGAATTGGGCTGCATGTACGTCTAGAGCTACAAGTTACCCATCCCTATCCTAGTAGATGATATCCAAAATGGAATTGCCTGACCCTTGTGGCATATCTCATATGGGGGAGAATCTTTTTTGCTTAACATTATTAAAAAATAATATATGCAAAGAGCAATTACTGTAGCAAATGGAATCCAGCATGTAATTTTTCTCCAACCCACACCTCATGCCAAACCAAAGACAGGAGCCCAGGGAGAATTTAAATTGCCTGCTCTTTATGCAACAAATGTGGGCAGATGTCTTAGTGAAATATAAGCAAGTTAAAACTAATTGAAAGTTCTCTCCTTTGCCAGTCTATTTGACAAAGTTGTAAAATTCTGGATGAACTCAGCTGCAGGTTCCACAATTTATTTCTTGTCAATTCTGCAGTGCCCTTAAAACCATCATCAGAACTCTAGTGTTATTTTGTATAGCAAACTTCCTGCTACATTTAGGGTTTCCACAACAGGCAAAAAAGGTGAAGGACAGGGGGAAACATTATTATCG